TCTGCTATATGAAAAGTATAAATTAAGGTGACATTACTGTCCAAAGCCCCCTCACATCTATTTTATAGAATCTATACTTTTTTGTGGTCACCTCCAAAGAAGCCTCTGAAATTGGGGGCTCAGAGGGGTGCTCATCCCAAAAGAAATCAGATTCCAGGCTTAAAATTTTTTTTTAAATAAATAAATGATAGAAAAGGAATCACGGGAACACCCAGAACATGCATTTTTGTATATAATCTTAATTTGCAGACATTTTATGCCTTAAAGACATATAAAGGATATTTAATTAAATATGCAGGTATCTTTAAAAAATTAAGCAATGTTAAAAAAATAAATAAAATAAATAATAATAATAAAAAATTTATTTTACACCACAATATAAACAGCTTTGTTAAACAGATTTAAGTACAAGTACTTATGTCAAGAAATATACAGAATACGTTTACAACAGGCAGGTTTAGCATAAATGCAAAGTTGTTGTTTTGGGGGATTTATTATTGCCCAAGAAATCTCCGAACATATTCAGAATTTTTAAGAGCAGCAAGTAAGACAGCAGATTGCAATGGACACCATTACAATATTGCTTTGCCGATTGAGGTCAGAGATTTAAAGAATAAATGTTCTATAGCTCGCTAGACCACTGGCTTTTAATGAACAGTTTGCACAACACTTATAAATAGTTTATTATACTGCACATTATAGCTGTGACAACATAATACACAGGGTAACAATGCTATGTCACTGTTTAATAGACTTACCCAGTATTTAAGGACGACATGTTTCTTGCAAAGTAATCTGGACTTTGAGGAAGGTTCTAACTATGTTTAATTAATTAACTTACAAAAAAAAAAAGAAAAAAAAAAAAAGAAGTTTATTTTTCCCCTGCAAGTGAGTTTTCAGCGCAAGGTCATCTTGTGTTCACAGACTATTCGGTTTTAAAAAGCTGTTCTTTATCTCACATTATGAACAGCCTTGTAATTCCTATGCACACTAAAAGTTGGCTTTTAAATGTTATTGTTTTAACTTTAATATTTCATAGTTAATACGGAGAATAAAGTATATTGAAAGTATATTAATTGATAGGATTTCATTTATCTATTTTGGTCCACTGTTCACTGATCTCGAGTCTCAGTCTGGTGTTCAAACAGTTTTTCTTACGATACGTTGTGAGTTTATATCCACAACTGCATTTTGCTTTGTGGAAACAAATTGAAAGCCTGGCATTGTAATATGTGTATGGACATGCTTATAACAAAGCATGGTACCTCTCCTCATAGATGGTCATTAACAGGCACTTTGATGCAATGTGTCTACCAACGCTTTTCTGTGGTCACTGGATCACATCGCATACCCTATCTCTCTGTCATGATGCAGAGTTTATGCTTGCAAGGATATCCAGACCTTATCCACCTGGTATCCGTATAAATACTCCTATCGTTTAGAGGGGTTAATTACATAATAACCATTGAAGGTAATATGTTGGTTGTTCTTCCTATAGAGGAAAGATGGACTTGCCCTAAAAGCTTTTTCATGGCTAGGACAAGCTCTTATAGAGAGAGGTAATGTACTTCTGACTCCTGAAAAGGAATATTGGTGGTCACAATATGGGAAATACTGTAATTCATGTGTTTAGTAATCATAAGCATTTGCTTATTGCTACATTACTGATGTACTGTTTATTGAAAAATTAATATCTAACATACTTTTTGAATTACTATATATTGAAAGTTTGCCAACATCTCATGGTTATAAATATGTTTTTGTATGTGTTGATGCATGTACCAGGTTTACTTGGATATATCCTGTGCGAAGTGCAACCTCTGATGCCACGTTTTCTAGTCTCACTTCCTTAGTATGCATTTGATAATCCCAGGACCATCCATTTGGATGGTGGTCCTGCAGTTACTGCAAAGGAAACCTAAAACTGGGCAACCACATTTGGGTTACTTTGGGATTTCAGTGCCCCAACCACCCCCAAAGAAGTGGGGTTGTGGTCTGGGAGAATGCTGAGGTTAAATGATTATTAACCAAGTTACTAGTTGCTTGCCCCACACAGTGGTATCTATTTATTCCTATGGTACAGATAAGCATTCACAACATACCTGATGATACAAATGGTGAGACACCATATGAAATGTTACATGTTTTTCACTGACAAATATATTTCTGCACCAGGGAGAGCTTAGAACCATTGGTTCTATTAGAGAAATTTAGGGAATTTTTTTTTTTCCAGCCCACCTCGCCTTGCACCACCACCTATTTCCTTCTGTTGGCCAGTTTGTCCTGGAGAGGGTGATACCGAGAACTTTTACTACAGAGAACAATCAGACCCAACAGAGAACAGTAAGTTTTGATATTTTACAACCTGCTAAATACTTCCAGGACGTTCACAGAACCACTGACTGATACAATGGATGCTGTTAAAGATGACAAGATAAAACAAACAGAGGACGACAGAAAAGCCACCAGAATCATAGCCACGTAACAGACTGAATCATGATCTGACATCTGAACCTGCAAATGTGAAGGAGAAGGATGAACAGACAGACGTTATACATTCACAGTTAATATGGAATGTACGAAAAATGAATCATCAACATCATTATAAGAAAGACTCTGGAGAAAACAGACTGAACCTGAATTATCTTGTACAGTAAGAAAGAAATGCAAAGATGGAAGCAAAAGGATGTTAGAAAATTGGTTATGGTGTCTCCTTCTTACAATCTGCAGCATTATCATAACATCAACCCTAGCTGTCATTTTAAAACTGCATTGAGATTATGTTAACAAGCAGGACTATATAACACACTATACAAGTTCTTTGATCGTGAGGACTACCTCCAAGAACTATCTCAAAAGGAGAGACATAGCGCACAGTGAAATGATTGCCTACACTGGTATTTCACAAGGAACCTATTGAGATCATTCCAAAAAAACGATTATACACGAGAAAGATGTGATTGAACTATTTCAAATCCTAATAATGGACTCAGCGATGATGGCAAAGCATGCTGAAAACAGAAAGACGAGACAGATGCTTGTGAAAGACTTTGGATGCACCTATGAAGGTGATTAAGAAAAGACTTTGCCGTATAGTTTATCACTGAATGACTACCGCAAACAGCCTTCTTATGCTGAAAAGAAGTGCTATGCTAATTCTGGACATTGCTATTATTTTTCCAGACAGAAGATGACCGGAAAAACAAATAAAGGCTGATAGCTGTTAAGATGGAACATGGTATTGAGAAAACCTGATTGAGTATCAAAGCACCTCACAGTACAAGACATAGATTGTTGCCTACAACTCAGAAAAAGTGGTTAATAGGAAGGAGAAGAAGAGGAAAATAGATTTCCTACTGGAGAGAAAAACCATCCTGGAACAATATTCTGCAACAATGAACTTTACAATGACATTTGGTGGCATATGAATTTGAATTTGAGAGAAACATCAATTAACGAAAGAAACCTTGATGCAATTAATAAATAATAAGACCGGCCTACTAAGAGCAGATGCCCTGCCAAGAGAATGGAATATAAAAAGACCAGCAAAATCTTTCAGAAACCTGACATCATGGGACACTTGTACTAAAGCATGATTTGCAGTTTTTCTTAAACTCTACATATTATGTACATACCTGCAAAGCAAGGAACTCCTGTAAACATAAACACAGAGACATTGATACAACAAGGAATCTGTAATAGTTCTGTTGCAGATGTGATCTACCGTCGTACTCCTTGCTCTTTTGGTATAACAATACCAATCAAAATGTTAAATGGCTCCATAGAATCAAACGACAAAGGATTCTTGCTATATTCTGGACTTCCAGGAATGTGGTGCATGGACCGAAAATTATAATTACTAAAGCAATCATGCTATTTTTTCCCTGTATCAGAAATGTGTCAGTGACAATGTGTAATATAATAGAGATACTATAATTAATGGTATAAGAAACACATAATGTGTTAATTACAAAGGTGGATAGACTTTGTGAATATCTGAAACACAATTGAAGATTATTGCTAAAATGCCATATGCAGCTGCCCTACAAACAAATATATTAGACATACGTATAAGAGCATAACAGCTAATTACCCAGATGAATAATTGAATCATGATAGTTAAAGATCATATGATTGCAATAACAACTGCAATAATGAATAAGGTTTAAACTTTAGAAGAAAATATAAAATGTTTTTATTAAAACTCGATATTCGTTTAAGTTTGCAGAGTGGTATAATTAATATAAGTGAAATACTTCAACAGTTAAAAACAGTTAAGACAGGCAGAAACTTTACTTCAACTATCATAAAGTTTATTTATAATGATAAAAAGGCCAGTCAATGGAAAGAAAGAGTATTATGGATTAACCCGTCCAGGTGATATACATGATGATTTTGGAAATTGATAAGTTAGGTCACCTATTGCAAACTTGTGAAAAGATGTCAAAGATATAAATTCAACATCCATACCACTCTATGTATATATATATATAAATACACGTAATCAAATATTTTATCAGTTTTTCAAATACAAAGAAAATGTAATTTGGTTTGTAATGGTTAAAGGTACATAAACCACCTATACAAAGGTAGAGTTAAAATATAAATACATTCAATATTGTATCGGAGTGCTTTCTTAACTCACTTTTAGAAATAATAAAAAATCCAAATCATCTTAAGCTAACCCAACAGCCACTGAAAAATATACTTAACAATTAAGATTCTCATTGTTAAGCATCCAATCTCACAAACGTAACTTTCCACAATGGCTGTCAGATCTTGGTAAAAAAAAAAAAAAATGTTTTCTAAGACAATTTTTGGGTGTTTCTGGTATTTTAAGCCACTAATAACTGTAGTTATAATATTTACTAATAATAACTAGGGAATAAGTTATCTTCTCCCTAACAGGTCAAAAGAAAGATAATTAACGTCATATTTCTAAATATACTGAGAGATTTTGAATAAAAGAGTATTTTTAACATTTAAAGAGGATGTAATTTTACATACCATTGTGAACAAAGGTGGTAAATACTTTGCTGCTTCAAATTATCCATTTATCTCTAAATCATATACAAGGGTGTTTATCTTTAAAACAAAACACTAGAGAGATTAACTATGTTACTATTTCATCTATCATTATTATACAAAGTATAACAAATGTAAAGATTTTTCCACAAATTTTACCTGTTAACATTTTTAGCACAACAGCACCTGATGTCATTGAGATGTCTATCACTGAGATGTTACAAAGATTCCATTACCGCAAAAGGAGGCGTTCTTGAGAATCCACTTCGATTGCTGTATCAACATAACATTTACTATAATGGGAACCATGTCACTTAAGACAATGTCTTGGAAATGCTGTCAATTAATTGATTCCGTAAAAGAATATCGGAGAGTATCCAATCTATACACATCATAAACGGTGTAAAAATGTTTAATGGAAAAAACAAAATAAAAAAAGACAAAGACAAATACCAAATCCATCACCACGGTGAAAACAGATGATGCTGATTCAATATCTGCGACCAATTCTAGCCAAATACTTGGATAGCTGGACTCTACAACCTATACTCAACAACAAATACCGGGTATTCTACAAACACAACCTCCAGCAATGTATCTAAGGAATGTAAACTTCTACAGGCCTTTAAAGACTTTGGATTACAAATACAATTACTACTTTTAACTTTGGATTACAATTTGTATCCGGATCCATCCAAGAATATCTTACTCTGGAACTTGGTGTTCTTTTCAATTCTTTCCCAGACAAAAGCTTTGCTCATTTTAATCAACCACCTTTACAGGCAAAGATCACACTACGGATATTTTACTGTTACAACAATGATCTAAGATGCTGGGAGCATAAAAAACCTAAAGACAGTTGGAGAACTTTGGTTTACTAATTTAAGAAATGCGCTACAATGCCCACAGTTTAATGGAGAGGGTGTTACGGGCAAATGCAAATATTACAAGTTTTAGAATGAAATGTTGTATTTCTTAAACTGTGTACTTTGTCTTTAAGAGATATTGCAAACTGACAAGGTGTTAGAAATGGAACATATTGTTTTTCATAACTGTTTCTTTAAGCAATAACCTCAGTGCATAATATGTTTGCGCCATTTTGTCCCAGACGAATTACAATAACAATAATGCATAAACAAGCTTCAAGGCTATTCTACGACACTTGCAGTACCCAATATACTGTGGTAACCCCAAGTTAATGGAACTTCCCCAAATCCGGGAATCTCCCACGACTGTACACTTACGACTTAGTATAAACAACAGATAACCTATTCAGACTTTAAGATGCCATCTTGAACTAAGTCAGGAAAATTTCCATGACGTTTGCACCCTTTAGTTATGGCCTTGTATGTTTGCCAAATTAAGGGAGGTCCTAAAATGAATACAGTAAAAGAACTACAATAACCCCAAAATGGAGACACCTAAGGTATAAATAGGTGTACTTTTAAATGTTAAGACACAGAGGAGAGACTTGGAGACAGACGCTGCTCCATCTTAAAATGACAGAGAGGCTGACATGATGACATGTTCAGAAGGGTATGTTAACCTATTAATGATATTTGCAAGCATGTAATTTAATCTTATAAACTCTGCTATAATGGATTTTATATTTTTATATAATAAATATCCAAAAAGACAATCTTGCTTCCAAGACAATCCTTATTTTATATTGTATTTTCAATTATTTATATATGTTAAATAGAGGATCTCTTACACTATATAAAATTATGGCTAAGATATCTGTATGGTTAGCCCTGCTAAGTTCTATGCTTTAAGACATTGTAGTGGTAAATAAGGGAACCACCAGCGGTTACAAGACCTGGCAGCTTCACCTCCTTTATGCCAGGTATCCTTCTCCCTGTCCCGCGCAGTGCTCTGTGTGATGGGAGAGGCGGGGCCAGGAAGTGACATCACTTCCTGTGTTCTCTCACACAGCGATGAGGGGAAGGAGCAGCAGCCTGGGAGAGCAGAGAGACAGGTAGGATACACCCACTCTGTCACTACTCACCCCCCCTCTGTCACTAGTCCACGCCTCCCTCACTTTGTCACTAATCACCCCCTTACTCTCACTCTGTCACCCCTCACTCTGTCACCCCCTCCCTCCTTCACTGTCACCAGTCACCCCCCTGCCCCCCGTGTCTCCCCCTCACTCTGGCACCAGGTACCACTGCCACCTGTCACCACCTCCCACACTCTGCCACCTGTCACCCCCTCCCACACACACACACACTCTGTCACCTGTCTCCAACCTTGGACAAGTAGATTTAAAAAATAATATATATATATATTATTCCACACCCCTGCACATGCAGACACGCATTAACGCTCAATACGCATATGCATTCACACTGCCACTATATACAAAACAGCATATGTGGTCATCCAGACATGCACAAGTGCATTCACACAGACTCCGATACAAACATGCATTGATAAACAGGTCTTCACAATATACACATCCAAAGGAATGCTGTATTATAGGAGAGTTATATTTAACATTTATTTCATGCACATATATTTGGCCTTCAAAGGGCCTGGGATCTAATTTTGCCCGGGGACCCCAAAGGCTCTCAGTCCGCCCCTGCATTCCACTGTGAATTAGCAGTGCATGTGTGCAATGCGATTTCAATTAAAGCACCAAAATGTTAAGATTTTGAATGTTCCAGGAGTATATTTAAACCCAGTAGCAAATACAACCAACCTACACCTTATAATGGTACAAGATAAATCTATGCCAAAAATACACCTTATAATGGTACAAGGACTCTTAAATACATATTAACAAAAAACTGTCCATACTAGTATAAAATAGATCTGGCCCAGCCTTTTCACAGCATTTATCTCGTGAGTCAATTGGGCAAAATATTTTAATCTTTTGGAACAAACATCCACTTTAGACCATTTAATGGAACTGAACTGTCTCATCCTGGAAAAAAAATCCAATGGTGCACAACTTAGCTTTAAGAAAGGCCTTTCTCTATAAAAAAAAAAAGTCTTTCAAAAATCTTGACAACAGACACCTCCAGTCAGGGATGGGGTACACATCTAGAAAAAGAAGAAACAGGGAAGTTGGAATCTAGAAGATGCGAAAAGATCACCAATCTTTAAGGAACTGAAGACAATTTGGTTGGCTCTAATTCCATTCAAATCACGTAAGTCAATTTTACAGCAGTGGCGTACATAAACAAACAAGGAGGGACGTGGTCTTATATGGAAAAACTATGCACTCAAATTATGCTCTGGTCCAAGATGCATCTTCATTCAATCTCAGTGGTGCACGTTAAAGGAAAATACAACATCCTAGCAGATGCTCTAAGTTGCAAGCATTTAAAACAGATTGATCTCTTTTGTCTCAGATGTTCAGGAACAGAGCAGTAAGATTTGGTTCTCCAATTCTAGACCTTATTGCCACAAAATCCAACAGGAAAACAAAAAGGTTTGCCCCCTTGAACCTGTCAGACATGCCGGATGTAATAGATTCACTTTCTATCCATTTTTCCACTAGTACTTCTAATTCCCAGGATTCTCCAGAAGGTAATTCAATTTCACCCATTACATGATATATTCTGTTTTAGCATAGAAAAATGTTTTTAAAGCCTTACTTGCATAACGTGAGGGGTCTCAATACACCACACGAGCCGTTTACTGTTCAGGGAGGTGAAAAACTAAAAATCTGACATCTTTATTCAAGAAACTATAAATCATCCTATTCCCAAATTCATGTCTATAAATTTCTCTACACAATTTCATTCTACTCATACAACGATAAAAATAAAGAGGTGTATCCATTTTATGTCACAAAAATACAGAGGAAATACTTACCAAGCGAGGTGGTAGATTCATATTTGGAGAGCCCCCTTTATGGCGTGGAATACACTCTGGCAAATGTATACTTCCCCAATTCTGGGAAGTATCACTACTTACGAAACATGTCAAGGGCAAATTAATTATGGGGGGGGGATATGAATTTTTTTGTTTTGCACTGACTAAGATATAATTAGAGAAAACAATTTAACCGTAAAAAATTATGCAAGCAATTGGCCAATTTATGTTCTAGTTATCTTTTCTCACAAAATTTGACATCTGGTGAGAGCTTACACCATGTATTCTCACATAGACCAGTTCTTGACGCGCGAGTGAAAATATTCCTAGGATAATAACATGGTCTGATCATTCCCTTATAACAATTCAATTGGAGAAATCCTTTCAGTTGTCTATAAATAAAACATGGATAACAGGGGACTATCTGATTAATAATCCAGAAAGAAAACTATTGGCTAAAAAAAAAAAAATTTTTTAGTGAAAATAGGACCCCAAATTTAGATGCTAATTCACTCTGGAATTCACATAAAGCAGTGCTGAGGGGGCATTTCATTCAAAGAGCATCTTACTTAAAAAAAATAATTGGAATTGGAACTACACAAAATAAATCAAGAAAACAAATTAGACTCTTCTCTGTCTCTTGCTATAAAAATCTCCAAAATGAAGAATAAACATAATACTTTGCAGTTGGAACATGCTGCTCTGATGCTAAGGAAATTAAAACAAACTTTATTCACAAGGAAATAAGGCCTCCACCTTATTGGCTTCTAAGTTGCGACATAAGATGTCTCTATCCAAGATTGAACATTTATTAAATGATGAGGTGGGGGTGGGGCCTGACAGCCATGGAGAGCAGATGTGTCCTGATTGCGCTCCTCAATTGTCCTGCGACATAAAGCATTTTTACAGACTGTTACTGCTCGATTAGGGACCAAAGAAATGAAGTCTACAATGCCCGACATACCAGACATGCTGGCAAGTGTTCAGTGACCCATCGGGAGATCCTTGGCTTCACCATCGCAATTGCGGCCTAGTGTGTGGCGGCTGAGCTCCTGATCTGGAGGTTCCCTGAGGCTAGCAGTTTAAAGCCAGTGCCCCGTGAAACACCCCACCCTTGGACCGGCGGGGTGATTCCGATCCTCCCCTGGGGGGATACCCAGCTCAGACAGGGAGACGATGTGCAGACAGGAGAGCAAGTGAGCCACGCATTGCCTTACTTAAATGGCAGACACCACATGAGCTACACACACACACACACACACACCTCACCAGGTTGAATCGACTCTTCTCCAACTTCTGGTGGCAGATGAAAAGTTGGAAGCTCCATTCTGCCCCACTGCAATCAGATACCTACTCACCTCGGAGTTCACCAGCTCTGAAGGCTGCGGCATGTCAGCGGGTCAGGCACCGCCCTTTACCCAAATGTTTTTACCATGTCTTTCAAATCCTTTTCAGACATTCTGACTCCTCATTTAACTAAAGTACTTCATCATTATTGGTCCTCTGGAGAGGCCATGTGTGCACAAATAGTAACATTGCCCAAACCAGGTAAAACTCAAAATATTTGACAAAATTATCGCCCTATATTTTTATTAACAATGATACAAAAATCTATGCAAAAATATTGGCACTCAGATTATCTAAAATTATCGCTTTAATAAAGACCAAGTGGGCTTTGTCCTGAACCGTCAGGCCCAGCACAGCACATATATTAATTTGATTCACCAAATTAAATCAGAAAGAATGCCTTCTTTGCTCCTTTCCATGGATGCGGAGAAGGCATTTGACAGAATACATTGGGACTTTTTAAGAGAGGTATTGTCACGATTTAGTTTACCGGAATCTTTTATCAGAGCGGTGTTTGCTTTATATAGTTCTCTATTGGCCAAGATCTCTGCTACAAGCTATGTTTGGGAAAGTTTCTCACTATCTAGCGGAACCAGACAGGGTGTCCACTTTCGCCATTTGTTTTTGTATTGGCAATGAAACCATTGGTTGAAATGTTACGCAATTGTGCAGAGATTGAGGGAATTGTGGTTGGGGACAGAGAACACAAGATTGGTCTCTTTGCGGATGACATTATGCTGTCTTTAAGAAATCCAATGTCCTCGATTTCGCCTCTGTCAATCCTGCAAGAATTTGGAAATGTTTTCTTACTATAAGTTAAATACTATTAAAACCCAAGCCCTTGCTTTCTTTGTTCTGAATTAGATACCCTTAAAAATTAATTTGGATTCGTATATTTCATATTTAGGCATCAACCTATGTAAGAACTTGTCTAAGATGCATGATTGTAACCTGGGTAAATTCTGGACCGCTTTTAGGGAAGAATTGGAAGGCTGGCGTGGTCTTGAAATTTCCTGGATAGGTAGTTTAAATTCCATTAAAATGAACATTCTCCCAAAAACATTATATTATATTAGAACCATTCCCCTCAATACTCCCATATCATTTTTAGGAAAATTAATTTGTCCCTCCTATCGTATATTTGGAGTAGAAAACCTAGCAGAATTAAATTGTTTTATTAAAAATTTCCACACCACCAACGCAGCAGCCACAGTCAAATTTAATCTTAATTAAGATTTCCCATTATGGCTTGAGATGGAAGCTGCAAAAATTGCATAATTTTCTATTAAAGAAATTTTATGGGTACCTACACCTTTTAGACCAAAATACTCGAAAATGTTCCCATCGACAAAAACAACTATCAGAGCCTGGAATGTTATATTTCAAAAAAATTAAACCATCATCATTGTGGTCAAGAGCATCACCTATTTCAGTGCTCAGAATGGTCGTTCCGGCTTTTGATGTAGGTTATTGGTCAGATCATTCAGTAACACATATCTAGAACCTAATATCTTTGAATTTCATTCTTTCATTTTTAGAAATAAAAAATAAGTATAATTTAGATGGTGTGAATGAGAAAATGTATGTTACGATCGAAACAATAGTTAATAAATGTAGACTCTCTGATCTTAAAATGAATATGTCTGTTATAGAAAATGTGTACTATTCAGATCCTGATCATAAACACAGGATTTTGCCCCTGTTGTGAATTACTTAATGAAAGAAAAAATGTAAAATTGGACTCAATGATTAAGTGGGAAAATGAACTGGGGGAGGAGTATCTGAGGGCCGTGGTCCTCAGCTCGAGCCGCATGCTGCTCAAGTACTCCTGCTTCCACACGAGCTGCGTGCGGCTCAATCTCCCCCTAGTCCCACCTGGCACTAGGAGCGCAGCTTAAAGGGGCAGTGGAGGCCAAAAGTTCAGACTCCCATTGGACCACATCATTCCAGGACCCCTACACGTGCACGTTTTGAGGGCGTAGGCATGATGTGGGCCAATCAAATGTTAGTTAAGGATATTTAATCTTTCCCAGCCCTATCCATTTTGCCCTATCGTGGTTTTTGTTTCATTACCCTTTAGTGTGTTCCTTGATCTATTGTGTTTATTCTGATATTGACCTTGTCTTTGTATCTGACTCTGAGTTTATCTTTCACCCTTTCACCCTTTCTTGTCTTGTTTGCCCGTCTGACTGATTACTGTGTACCTGACTCTGGCTAGTTCTCGTTTTCGCTGTCTCTCCGGTACCCTGACCTCAGCTCGTCTTTATCTATGTTTGACGTTTAGCCCAGTAATACGTTATTTGCTAGTCTTGTCCCTTGCTATCCTAAACTCTGCGTGTTGGGGTATACACCGTGACACAAAGGACACAGCTTCAAAAACTGGACTTACCCTTAAGGACACAAGCCATTTTTGCATTTTTTGCATCTCTGTCATTTATTGCACCAACACATATTATATACCGTTTTTTAGAGGGCAAAAAGGGCATTAATTTTATGTCACATATACATAGATAAATTCTCATTAATTAAAAAACAAATGCCAAAACAAATGGGGGGGGGAAGCTTAGAAAAAGTAATTCAAAATAAAATCATTTATGTGTCTTGATTATAGAGTACATAATATGTATAGGATTTCAGCTTATTTTAAAAGCTACAGGTCACAAAATAAAAGGACTAAAATAAAATTTCAATTTGTAGCAATTTTAGAAGTTGGCTATATTTGTCTTGTAGGTTCAGTAGCCATCACAAAAAACAATACAAAGCAAACTTACACAATAAAGTGCAAATCACACAAAGTGTGGGGGTGGTAGCGGAAGTATCAGTGCAACTCCACAGTGTTTAAAAAAAACACTTAAAAAACACAAATTAAAATACAAATAAAAGATAAAGATAGAGGAGTGCAAATACAGATGTATATAGTATACTTATAGACACTTGTCGGTCCTTTAAATGTCACCTATATACAAAAAAAAGTCCAAACATAGCATAATACTGTTTGACCAAATAACGTAATAAATAGATTTTGATTTCCGCTCACACTTTGCAGAGCCACATATAGTAGGCTCTGACTATTGTTGCTCTTTTAGAATTCCCTGATATGCTTGACTCCACCACGTCTCCAGATCTCTCCACTTGTGCCAGGATATAGGAGATATAAATAATTCCAGTAGAAAGTGGGGATACTTTTCAAAAATTTAATAGCATATATAAATATAACAGGGACATATATAAAGTGCATAAAAAGTGAGAAATAAGTAAGATAGCAGCACTGACGCGTTTCGACTACAATAAAGTCTTTTTCAAAGTGCATAAAACAACAGTCACCATGTTCTGTATATATATCCTCTTTCCTGTTTGAATTTGGCGCCAAAAAAATCTCCATTATGATCGTGTCCTCCTACTTCCTGGTTCCGCTGGACGACTTCCGTGTTTCCTCCCTCTTTTGCGTCACGTTGCGTCTGATGTCAGACGTTTTTCGCCGAACCGGAAGTGGTTCGTATTAGGTCATTGAAGCTATCGGGGCCATATTAAAACAGTCTTGTATTATATACTTTACATGGGACCATCCTGGCAATGTATTTTCTTTGGTTTACAACATAATAAAAGTTCCTCTCATCCCTTAAAAACTTATATCAATAATGGTTATAAAAATACAATTGTATAACTAAACTAATGTCATAAATATATTTATAATGAATATAAAAATACAATTAGTGACATAAATATATTTATAAAAAAGGAGAGAAGAAAAAGAAGAAGAGAAGGCAATTTAAAGGGAGAGACCACATAATCAACCTAATACCTGTAAAAACAGTGCAATAAAAAACATATAAATAATTAGTCATATATCAATAAAAGATATATATATATAAGACATTTTAAGCAATAAAACTATTAAATAAGTACACTCATCTCAAACTCCATATTGAGTCCTTTGGGTGATAATGTATCCAAATTAAAAATCCAACCCATTTCACATTTACTTAAATTTGAATTGATGTCACCCCCTCTCCAATGTTTTGTAACTGTTTGAATTCCATAAAATGTAATTCCACTTGAATCCTGGTTATGGTGTTCTAAAAAATGTAGGGAAACACTATGAGTTTTAAATCCTTTCCTAATGTTATATATGTGTTCCTGCACCCTCGTGGCCACACATCTAGATGTTTTGCCTACATATTGTAGACCACAGGGACATTGTAACACATATATCTTATGTTCTTTCAAATTACCATTGGAGTGGAAGGACAAAATGTTCTTTTCTTTTACTTTAGATGTTCTACACCCCATACAATACAGCTATGGGGACCAGGTTCGCTCCCAGTTATGCTAATTTATTTGTGGCTTATTGGGAGGAACGATTTGTTTTCTCTCAACATGACTGGGTTGCGAACCTGGTCCTCCATAGAAGATACATTGATGATATTTTCTTTATTTGGAAAGGTGACGAATCATCAGTTTTAGATTTTTTAACCTACCTCAATATGAATCAGTGGAATATTAAATTAACTCATGTAGTTGATCGGCAAACGATTGATTTTCTAGATCTGAATATTTATGTAAAAAAATAAAAAATTGAGACATGTACCTTTTTTAAACAGGTGGATGTGAACAGCTTCATTGAAAAAGGAAGCTGTCATTTTCCACCTTGGTTGGATAACATTCCGAGAGGTCAGTTCCTTAGATTAAGAAGGAACTGTTCAGAAATAGAAAAATATGATCTACAGGCCTCTGCATTGAAAGGATAATTTTTAGAAAAAGGTTATGAGAAAGTAGTCCTTGAAAACACAATTCAAGAAATTGGAGAATTAAATAGAGAAGATCTGTTAAAGTATCAGCAAAAGAAGGATAATAAGCATGAAGATACGATTCCACTAATATTTAATTTTAATAAAAATAATTCAAAATTGAAACATATTTTTAATAAAAATTGGCACTTACTTAAACAGGACGATGATATTGCACCTTATATAGGGGATAAATCTAAAATTATATATAGGGGGGCTCAGAATCTTAAACAGATTTTAACTTCTAGTTTTATTGAAAAAAACGATAATAATTTTTTAAATAGCCAGAAGGCTTTATTAAAAGGTTTTAATTTTTGTGGGAATTGTATGGGGTGTAGAACATCTAAAGTAAAAGAAAAGAAGATTTTGTCCTTCCACTCCAATGTTAATTTGAAAGAACATAAGATAGACAATTTTATTTCGTGCAAGACTAAAAATGTGATATATGTGTTAGAATGTCCCTGTGGTCTACAATATGTAGGCAAAACATCTAGATGTGTGGCCACGAGGGTGCGGGAACACATATATAACATTAGGAAACTATTTAAAACTCATAGTGTTTCCCTACATTTTTTAGAACACCATAACCAGGATCCAAGTGGAATTACATTTTATGGAATTCAAACAGTTACAAAACATTGGAGAGGGGGTGACAAAAAACAAAATTGCCACACAAAATTATATATTTATATATAGTAGACATCACAGGCTATTTACCTAAGGTTATTTTGACACTTTTTACGTAACCATTTCATCGCCAATCTCTGCTAAATATTGGAGTAAAATTGTGTTTTTTCTCTATTTTGGCATATACACATATAACAAGGTTATTGTAATGTGTATTTCGTAAAGCTGGTGTGTGCTATTCCTGCCCCATATTGTGTTCAGCTACATCTGCTGCGTACAACGATACCCCCATTGTATGCCTTCGGCACTATTCTGTGAAGCTACAATGCCATATAAGAGCCAAGGCTATTTCAGTTTCTAAAGCTAGAATTTTCATAGATGGATATGATGGGCCTATGTCTCATTTTGGGGTATTATGTAGTTTGACTGTTCAAATTATCCCACAAAGGGCCTCCATTTGATAAAGCAGACACCCCAGGGTATTGTATATGGTGTATATTATGCTTTAACGTGTCACAATTTTTTCACCAATTTATGTCAATGTTTGTGATGAGGGGGAAAAAAATGGGATTTTTACATACATACTTTTTCAGAGTATTTCTTACACTTGATATGTACCACTGTCATAAAATTACCCAAATTATGCTCAGTTACATCTTCTGAGTAAAATAATATGCCCAATGTATGACCTAGACACTATTTTGTGAAGTTACAGTGCTGTTCAGGGTTTTAAGTGTGAATTTTCATGGAGGGTTTTGATGCGTCCGTGTCCCTCTTTGGAGCACTTGAGCAGGCTACATATTCCAGCTACACCACAAAAGCATACCATTTATTAAAGAATACACCCTGGGGTATTTCAAAAGGCATATTTTGAACCTTAGCGTGGGATCATTTTTCCGCTAGCTTGTACCAGATGTAGTGGTAATAAGCATATTTTTCTGCCTTTTTGAATCACAAAGTGAGTTTGCACAGTATATTTTGCAAACCTTATGTGTGCTACGACTTTGTAATACTTCATATGTTGCTCAGCTATGTCGGCTGAGTACAGCAATACCCCAGCATGTACCTTTGCCAGGTAAACGTGGATATTGAAGGGGCACATTTGAGACACAGCCATTCCAGTTTTTTTTCAAACGTTGAATTTTTACACTGTGTCCATGTCCCATTTTAGAGTATTTTAGCAGGCTATATAATCCAACTATCCCATAAAGGCATACCATTTCTTAAAGAAGACATCCTAGGGTATTTTAAAAGGCATATTTTGAACCATATTTTGAGCCAGGTATATGTGGATGTTAAAGGGGCACGTTTCAGCCATTCAGGTTTTTTTTTCAAACTTTGAAGTTTTATGCTGTGTCCATGTTCCACTTTGGAGTAGTTTAGCTGGTTGGTTATTCAAACTTCCCCCCAAATGCATACATTTTTTTTAAAGAATACACCCTGGGGTATTTCAAAAGGCATAATTTGAACCTTAGCGTGGGATCATTTTTTCGCAAGTGTGTTCCAGGTGTAGTGGTAGTCATTTGTAGGTGTAGGCATTTTTTATGTATTTTTTTTTACTTTTTAAAACTTGTTTTTCAACTTTTTTTACTTATTACATTTTTTTAACTGTTTTAAACTTTTTTTTAAAACTTTTAAAATTGGTATAAACTTTTTTTTTACCGTTAACCCCTAAATAGCAGTAAGCAGCACTTAATTCCCCAATTTCCCATAACTCCCACCCACCCCAGCTAAAATATTTAAATTAATTAATGAAATGAATTGAACCCCTGAAAAATAAATAAAAGTTAACCCTCAGGGTCAACTGGCAGGAAAGGGGTTAAGTTTTATTAGGACTGGGTAAAGGGGTGGGATTTATATAACTTTTTTGAAATGTTATTAAAACATTTTTTTTACTTTTTAAATATGTTTTAAAAACTTTTTTTTAACGTCAACCCTTAGCTAGCCAAACACCAACTTCCCAAATACCTCACAAACATCCACCCCAAATAGCTAAATATATATATTTAAAATATTTAACTTAATTAATGAAATAAATTTAACCCCTGAGGGTTAAAAAAAAATAAAAGTTATCCCTCATGGCTTAAAAAAAAGAAAAATCAGATCACAGTAAAATGTAGTCCCTGCCAATTGATCAATTGGCAGGGAAGGGGTTGATTTTTATTTTAAATGGGTAAAGGGGGGTATTTTAAACTAACTTTATTTTTTTCACACAGGGAGACCATCCCTGCTGAACCGTTTCCCTGCACCTCACACTTCACACAGGCTGTCAGAGCAATCACAGCTGGGGTTAACTTTAGTAAATGATGTAAATTTTCCGTCATGCGTCCTTAACAGTAGGTCTGCCTTGACGGAAAATGTTCGTCAAGCGTCGTTAAGGGGTTAAAAGGTATTTCTCAATGTGCTTCTTGTTTAGAATCTCATTTTAAAATTCTCCACAGGTGGTACCTCACACCAAGTTATTCAAACTAATATTATTTTACACTAACAAATTTTGGAGGGAGTGTGGTCAAGTAGGATCATTATCTCACATACTATGGTCTTGCCCTAAATTGAGAAATTATTGGAAATCTATACATTCTCTGATCAAACTCTTAGATGATTCAATAAGTAACTTAACCCCTACACTTTGCCTTTTCAAAAAAACTTCCAAATAACCTACATATTAATAGCAGTCACCATAGCTATCCTCAGACATTGGAAATCAATCATCATTCCAGACATAAAGAAAGTTATAAACTCACTCTGAAAATACGAATTATCACTAAGAATAACATCTTAAACAAATATTATCTATTATAGAGACATGAATGGGAAGAGTGAGAAAGAAAGTTCAGACGACTGTATAATTTGTAGGCATTGTCTCACCTGACCAAATATGAAGAATAGAAAGGTCATATTTAGCTTATGACATTTGAAGATATCTGTTATCTTTTTTTAAAGACTTTATTGTAGTTATATACTGTTCTTTGTAAAACTAGATAAATATACTGTTCATTTCCCTGTTAATATTTGTTATAATGTATATTATGACACATGTTTTTTTCTTTTGGAAAAGTTGTATCATAATAACTTTTAAACTATTCAATAAAAAACATTTGACAAAGATAATTGCAATTCTACCTTGGTGGTCAAGAAGGAGTTGGTTCTCCATGCTCCTAAACATCCCTGTGGCAAACCTAGCCACTTCCGGACACTTTGGATGAATATTTTGTTAACTGTTGCTATGCTCATTTTATATGCAGTGTGTAGCATTCGTCTGAATATTATATCAGTTATGTTTTGTTTTTTTTTATGTAAAACTGTATATTTTGCTGTACGGAGAGATAATGTGATTAACAGTACATTCTTGCACAATTATCTCTCCTGTACAGCAAGGCCTCTGTTGTAAAACCCCTGCAATGTCATTCAGGAAACCCCTTGCATGGGGACTTGCATAAATACTGTGACCGTGGAATAAAATGACAGTTGAATCCCAGACTATGTGTCGTCTAGTCCTTGGGGAAGAGGGATTATTATTACGCTGCCTGTGTTTTACCTGCTTTATCCTGACTACCAGCGGAGATACCGTGGATTATACTGCTACTCCGCTACAATTGGTGGCAAGCGACGGGATCCAACCTTACAGCCGAAAAGCGGTGTTTGGGTAATTGAAACTACCGAACAGGAAAGTGAATGGCAATTCGGATACAACTAAGAACCGAACACAGAGGTGAATGGAGACAGACTACACTGCATTGAAATAGCAGACGTTAAAGGAACTATTGGAAGCCAGGGGTAAGATAGCCAGCAATAAGCCAAAAGCTGTGCTGATTGCTGAATTGATGGAGGGAGACAGAGCTCGCAGCGTTACACTCCCACCAGCCATGGAAGAAACCCCCTTCCAAAAGGAAATGAGGACCAGGATGGAATTTTTACCCCAGCCAGTACCCCTGGAAATACTGACAGTACTGATGGCGGATGTGCAGGAGTATGTCATGGCATATCGGGCTGTACCCAGGGAGGACAGTAAAGATTATGCCCGGGTAAAACAGGCTATACTGGAAAGATACGCCATTACCCCAGAGGCATACCGGTGCAAGTTTCGAGGGTTGCGCAAACCAGAGAAAGATTCCCACGCAGAGTGGGCCCACAAACTGGACCAAGCCTCCCAGGGGTGGATACAAGCCAGTCAAGCAACCATCATGGAGGAGTTACGGCAATTGCTGCTGTTAGAACAGTTTTTCAATGTCCTATCCCCAGAGGCAAAGGAATGGGTGAGAGATAGAAAACTCCTCACCCTAACAGAAGCTACAAGACTAGCAGACCAGTACTATGATGCCAGGAGGCATCACGGTAACCTCAACCAAGGGTACCCTCGACCCACCGCTCAACCTCATACAGCTACCCCTACTGCACTTACAGCAAACCCATTCCGGACAAACCCAGGGGGGCACACTCCACCATCCAGGTATACTGGCAGAGCGAATATACAGTGCCATACGTGCAAACAATGTGGCCATATGGCGAGAGAGTGTACCCAGAACCGGAACCGCCAAACATGGAACCAGGTACGTCAGAATCCAGCACCAAGAGCAGCCGCCCACCACTACCAAGCGGAGCCAGCAACCCAGGAGATACTTTTTTAATCAGACCAAAGAGCCCCTGGGAATGCTACACGATGTGATGTCGGTACAAGCCACAGACAACAGGCAACACCGGTCCGCTTATGGATCTACCGCCCCTCTTCCAGCAGTGACCACTTCGGCCCATCCACGACCAGGGGTAAGCAACAACTCGTACCCTCCCAGGTATAATACACGACCGCCAACCCGCTGCTATACCTGCAATCAGCAAGGACATATTCAAAGAGATTGCCGACGGAACAGAAACCGACCAACCTGGCATAACCAGGGGCCACCACCCCATAACCGAGCTGCGGTACACTGTTACCAAAAAGAATCCTTTGTCCCACACACAACAGCCATATCCGTAGAAGAACCCCTGGGAACCCTGCACGAAGTGAACCCCATACAAGCCGCCTCAGACAACCGGCAGGGGCACCACCAGGTGGTACACATGGAGGGAAAGAGTATACAAGGATTACGTGACTCTGGTTCCACCTTGACTCTGGTCCGGAATCATCTGGTTCCAAAGAACAATCTCACTGGGGACTGTGTGGCTGTTCGAGTGGCAGGGGGAGCAATTTACAAAGTCCCCACTGCCAAGGTACATTTGGATTGGGGAGCGGGGCATGGGAATGTGGAGGTGGGGATTATGCAGGATTTGATCTTGGGCAACGACTTGGGGGAGCTCACATCCGCCTTTGTTCCCCTACCCACCGTCCAAGAAGCATACCCTGTTGTTACTCGACAGCTGGCCCACACCACGGCTCCATCCGATCACTCTGAGGCTCAGGTAGGCAATCTGCCCCACACCACTCCTGTTCTCCCCTGGGATGCCCCCTTAGAATTTGGCAGCGAGGTAGCCCTAGATCCTTCCCTGCAGGTATATAAAGATCGTATAGACAAGAATCAGGCAGTGCCGAACCGTGGGGCAGTGAACATCGTAACCATGTCTGACTGGGAGGAAGAGTGTGAGCCTTGGGTACCACCTCCCATTAGCAGGCCACAATCCTACAGACAGGGAGCAGGCAATGGAAGAGGTTGGGGCGGAGGGCAGGGCCGAGGTGGCCGAAGCTGCTGGGCAGAGGAAGGATCCAGGAGGAATGGCGATCAGCCCAGGAACAGAGAGTCCTGGAAGTACGCCGCTGTGTTTCCGCCTGGACAGCTCACTGGTCGGCATGGTCATAGGACGTGGAGGAGCTTAAGAAAAGGAACTCGAAGAGTTATCTGGTGCAAGGATAAAAATTGTAAATGATAGCTATGACTCTGAGGTAAAATTATTTGGCACAAGGGATCAGCAAGATAAAGCAAAGGAAATGATAAATGATCTTGTCAAAAGTTCAAGAAAAGAAGCTGTTTATGAGTACAGCGAAATCCCTGATTCCCCAGAGAGCACCACTCCTCCACGTGTGACAGAGAAGCAGTTTGTTCAAATTGACTGGGCTTCTGCTAATAAACAAGCAGCGATATATGAAGTCCTAAAGTGGACAAAAGAAAATAATAATATATTGTGCAATGATTTAAAAGAAAATGGACAGCGATCCATTCCCAATCCCATTTTGAATTTTGAAGATGCATTCAGTCCATTTCCTGAAGTAATGAGTGCGTTAAAAGTTGCCGGGTTTAAAAAACCTGCCCCGATTCAGTCCCAGCCTTGGCCAGTTATACTGCACGGAACAGACCTTATTGGTATCGCCCAGACGGGCACAGGGAAAACATTAGAACATTAGCATACCTACTTGGACCTTCAGCCGTGTCCTAGAGATCAGCGTGGTGGTGGGCCCTTAAAAATCTGCAACCCTATTTGTATGGGTAGTACTCCGGACATCCACAAGCCAATCCGTTAGGATCACACTGTGTATGCCGGCTTGGTTCTGGTGAGCATTGTGGCAAACCTAGCCACTTCTGGACACTTAGGGTGAATATTTTGTTAACTGTTGCTATGCTCATTTTATATGCAGTGTGTAGCATTCGTCTGAATATTATATCAGTTATGGGTTTTTTTATGTAAAACTGTATATTTTGCTGTATGGAGAAATAATGTGAGTAACAGTACATTCATGTGGAATAAAATGACAGTTGGCTCCCAGACTATGTGTCTTCTAGTCCTTAGGGAAGAGGGATTATTATTACGCTGCCTGTGTTTTACCTGCTTTATCCTGACTACCAGCGGAGATACCGTGGATTATACGGCTACTCCGTTACAATCCCGAACACAGATTATTGGATAGTTCCTCTGTCAGTGGATATGCAATATCACTCCATGGTTCCTCTACCGACTCTGCGGAAATTCAACCTAACGGCCTGGTTACTGAATACTAAATCATGAAATCTCAAGGTCTATCTCCTGAAATTATTAAAATTCTTACGTCTGCAAAGAAAGATTCTACATCCAATATTTATTCTCTTACCTGGAAAACATGCTGTGCTTGGTGTTCCAAGATAAAAGAAGGCCCGTTTTCAGTATCCATTCCGAACATCCCCAAATGTTTACAACTGGTCTTTGCTAAAGGATTTCAACCGGCCACTCTCAAGATTCAAATTTCTGCCATTAGTTTCTTCTCGTTCAGAAACCTGGCTACTAATAATATTCTATTTTCAAGATTCTTCAAGGCTTTGTCTCATCTCACTCCAACTATTAGGGAGATTGTTCCACCACGGGATCTTAATCTAGTTTTATCTGCATTATGTGAAAATCCATTTGTTTGTATGGCATCACTCACACAATAATCGCTTTTAAAACTTTCTTTTTAGTGGCAATTACTTTGGCCAAGCTTTTGGGTGAACTTCAAGAACTGAATTCGGATTATCCTTTACTGATATTCCATCAAGACAAGGTGGTATTGAAGCTTGATTCATCATTTATTCTGAAAGTTTGCTCATAAGCCAACATCAGTCTATTCTGCCAACTGTTTGCCAAAATCCTTCTAATTCTTTAGAAGAAAATGTCACTGCCTTGACGTTAAACGTGCATTACTGCAGTACTCAGGAAGTACAAATTCCTTTAGAAAGTCAAACAGACTATTTGTCCTGTTTCAATGTGCAAGAAAAAGGTCTAATGGCATCTCTGGCCAGATGGATCAAAGAATAATTTGGGTTAGCCTATACCTCCTCACGGTTTATAGGTTGCAAGCGGTGGTTAAATAATTCCCGCCCTTAGGGATTGCTTGGTTATCCCTGTTGTGATGAACTGCATCTAATCTGAAGGGAAAAGCATATTTTTTACTTACCGTAAATATATTTTTCCTTAGGATTTGAAGCAGTGCACACATTCCCCATTATTTAATAAATTATTTTTGCAATCACCCGGCTTTTATATTTTCTGGAACCTTTTGATTAGTTAGAGTGAGCAGTTGGTGGAGGATCTTAAAGCTGTTACCGGGAGTATGCCTGCCTGTTTTTCCCTCCAGATTAGAGAAATCCCTGTTGTCACGCACTGCCTCTAATCCTAAGGAAAACTAAAATTTATGCTTTTTAACCTTTTTTTGACCAGGGGGGAGAGGGTGGGGTGCCGCGAGAGAGACGAGGTTTGTATTCTTAACAATATAGTATCCATTTAAGTCCTCTAGTGGCAGTTTGACAGCCACTAGAGGGCACTGCACTGACACAGAAAAACTTGGTCACGTGACACAAAAACTCCCTTAGGAAAGCATTGATGAGAAAGTTTGAATGCTTGCCGCACATGCGCATTAGGACCCCAATTCTCAGAGAAAGAGGCCCTGCCTCCTGTATGACGCCGCAGGAGGAGAGGTGAGCACTTTTGAGGGCGTCGCTGTGCTGGAAAAAGGGTAAGTTAATCTTTATGGTTTTTATTCTAAGTCGGGGGCCGCTATTTAGACGTAGGGAGAGGGACACTATGGCGCTAGGAATGCAGGTTTGTGTCACTTTAAAGAGGCCCTGTTTTTTGTTTCTTTTTTCCTTTCCTTATGTCCCTGTATCTTAATGATTTTACTCCCTCCTTGCCACTTGTCTTTGTTTATATTATATTTTATTCCATGTGCTGGATATCAGTATGTGGGAGCAGCCATGTTATTCCCCTCTGTCTTTGATGTCCGCGGTTTCCCTTCTGTGGGATTGATGTTACTGATGGATTGTGGGTAAATTAGATTGGCGACGGTAACTGAACGCTTTAAGTTCAGCACATTGTCAGGTTTTATTTATCTGAGAAAGCAGTTCTTACTTTTTTTTTTGTGTAATGATAAAATCAGTGTCGGCAACAGACATTTCATCATGTAAAAGAAAGCTCACATAAGTGTCATACGCATGGCCAGATATCTGCACAATTTATAAACAGAGACACTATAGCTTATTGTATTTGTTCTGGTTGGAGTATGGAAAATTCAGATAGTTCCACAAAAATATTTTATTGAGAATATAATAAACTACTATATTAATCTTGATATTGATATGTTTGTGAAGCCATCTGAACAATACAATATAGCTGTTTATTTTATATGTGTATATTTTAATCTCAATAAAGTATTTTTGTGGAACCATCTGAATTTTCCATAGTGCATCCTAATGAAGTGGATCAAGTAGCCAAAAGTGGCACCCTCGAGCCTCTTATACAGAGCCTGATACGACTCGGAGTCATGTGACTGATACCCCTATTTTCATCTACAGTTGCATTTGTGTATACAGTTCACGCTATGTGCTTTTCCTATTTTGTTTTTTAAGTTTTCTGTTTGTGTTATCAGTGTTACTAAGTATATATTTATGTTTACATTTTTGCACTGAGACACAAAGGGTTATTTAACTGGTATATTTTATATGTGTGTAGTATTATTATTCTTTTGAGGGTTGGGGAACACGTTTTATTTGCCACTCTTACAGAATTGAAGAAGCGCCTTACGCACTTTTTTTTCTATTTGCTTCAATATAATCATTATATTAAAAACATTGTGTTTGAGGTGACAATTCTCTTAATAATCCATTTAAATACTTTCCCAGCCACACTTCAACCTGGGCGAGGGGTATCCTATTTTAACCCCAGGTTAAATGGGATCCACAATGGAAAATATATATAATGTGCATGAGTGCACTTTGTTTATTGGTTCCTTGAATATGACAGATATTTGAATATCACTGGTATCGTAAGAGGGCACCGTCACTACTTGGATTTAAACCCTGGATATTTTTTTCCATGTTGTGGGACTGGTGTAACTTCCCATGGTTATCACTGTGTCACGGACATGCCTGTGCTTCTCCCTCTGCTGGTTTGTGTGGGATGAAGTCCTCTTCCCTGCATTATAATAGATGCTGCCCGTTTGAAAGGCGCATCTTTTGTATATTCAAATGTTGTGATGTCATGCCCTCCCTTAAAGTGACCTTGTCATCCAGGCGACCCCATTATTACTGGTTTTGGAGTCGCGGAGATGATGTGGACCAATCATAAACATTGATAGCCTATATAAAGTTAATTTTGGCCCTTGTTTACTGCCCTATTGTGGTTTCTGCCCTGATACACGTTAGTTCTCATAGTAATGCTCTTGGCATATTTTGATATTGACCTTGACTTGTATTTGATTCTGTGTAGTTCTGGTTTCCTGACCCAGCTAGTTATTAATTAATTAATGAGTAATAACCAATAACCATTAATCCATATTTTCATATTCCTGACCTTGGTTTTTCCTGACTCTGTCTTTATCTTTATCTTTATTAACGTTAAGTCCGCCTCCCACTCATTACGTGTCTCCTTTTCCTGCAGCTCATTGTTTATTATTGTCCGTAAGTTTCGTTTTAGTCCCTTTGTGTTCTCGATGTGCACTTCTTCTCTTGTTTTGGATGTCATTGGGATTGGGTCCTCTCCTTTTGTTTTTCTGTATTGTCTTTCAGGGATTTCTTACATCACTAAAGTTATCAGGCTTTGCATTTAATAAACATCATCTTGTATAAATAATTTTGGTCATTTTAAATAAGTTGGAACATTTCGCTAGGAAATAGGTAATACAAACTCTTGACCACACTCTTCCGAAAGAGGATCAGTAAAATCCTTTATGCATAGTCCCTTCCACACCGAGAAGAAGGAGAGACACTCTTGGTCACTGACCCAGTAATGCTCCCTGAATTATGTTGTATTTCACAAACAGAAGTAGATCGCATTTATTGGTTGTAAACGTGGCCTACTATTTATGACCGATATGTGTGATCAACCTCTATAATAGGCAGTTCTTTAGTAATTTAAACCATATACACATATACAATTTACCGGCCAATACAGTAAGATTATTTAATTATTTTATTCAATGAGAATGAAGAGGCACTTGATTGAAGGAGGAGGTAATGTTTTCCGTGGTTCAATCCTTGTGACCCATTGAATGCTATATTTTTTCTTCTGCAGGATATGGAATAAATAAATAAATAAATCTCCAGAAATAAAATTATATATTAAGCTGTAATAGAGAGGGTAGTACTTCTTATATAAAGGGCAACTCTTATCAGTGTCCATCTTGGACCTACCTTAAATCCTTTTCATAAACCAATGATATGTGCCTCGTTATTAACAGAGAAGCCACTGTGTTGCTGTGACTGGATGCCTCCACGTGTCCAGCCCTCGCGATCACTCATGGTGGGCGTTGGGTCAATAAATCTAGAGGACAGAAAAAGCATTAAAAAAAATAAAATAAAAAGAGTTGCTTTGTAATTAATTAGAAGACAGAAGACCAGCCATGTTATATGGTTTATTAAAACGCAGGCCAGCAGGATGGATTTTACTCGTCATGCTATAGTCATTTTTATCGGGTTTATAGGATCCAAGTCTTTCCTTTTCCATTTACACTGAAACGCTCCTCCAAAAAATATTCCTTTAAAGATGCTACAAGGGTAACATGCATTATTTAAATGTTACCCCTATGTTTTAAATAAAGGTATGGTAGTGTCAAAGACACATAATGTTTTTGAAAACAATCATATGCAATATAACATTTGTTGCAGTACAAAATACCTGTTAGAAATGACAATTGAATTACAGTTGTGGCAAAAAATACCATTTAATTTCCATAGTCCTGTAATCGGGGGACCTGGGTGGTGTAGGGACCCCTAATCTCATATTTAGGAGGGTGGATGAATAGGTGGTGTCATTCACTATTGTGGAAGAAGGGGGATTATTTATAAGGCCACCTACTTTATGGTATTCTGTGGGAACCCCCATACACCCTCTTTATTTTATTTAGAGATTGTATTTTTAAATAAGGCATCGAGTCTGCTGTAGCTTGAAATTAATTGACCGGGGTATGGAAATTTCCTGCAGGTACAAGAAGTAACTTGTAATGAGTCAGGATTGCAGGACAACGCTTCTGGAATAGGAAAGAGAGTCTGAGATTTAAGGTTTTGATCATTGTACGAAGAACTCTCCTCCATCTCTTTTACTAGCATGCCGGACACTAGTACCTGTGTTTGTAGTTCGTCAGGTATTGTTCTGGTGGCTGGTTCCTTGTCATCACATATTCCTTGTTATTAAGACTAAATCCAGATAGTTCCTGGAGTGATATACAAACAGTTAATCACAAATAATTGCTACAATTATTATTTTTATTATGTTATTATTTATATAGCGCCAATAAATTCTGCAGCGCTTTACAGTGGGTGGACGAACAAACGTAGTTGAACCAGACAAGTTGGACACACAGAAACAGAGGAGTTGACGGCCCTGCTCAATGAGCTTACATGCTAGAGGGAGTGGGGTAAAGTGACACAGTAACAGAGGGAATGAAGTCCTGCTCAGTGAGATTGCATGTTAGAGGGAGTGGGGTATAGTGACACAGTAACAGAGGGGTTGAGGGTCCTGCTCAATGAGTTTACATGCTAGACGGAGTGGGGTAAAAATGACACAAAAAGGTAAGGATAGTATTAGACTAGTGACAGTTGCAGAAGAGGAATAAGTCAGGAGCTATTAACAGTTTAATTGATACGCTTTTTTGAAGGAGTGGAGACTGGGTGAGCATCTAACAGAGGAGGGAAGCGAGTTCCACAGGAACGGTGCAGCCCTCGAGAAATCTTGAAGGCGAACATCAGAGGTGGGAGTACGGACAGAAGATAGACGTAAGTCTTCAGCAGAGCGTAGGGGCCTAGACGGGACAAACTTGTGTATTTTATGTATTGTGTATTACAATGACTTTGTGTTCCTGAGTGTTGTATTTATAGACGTTCAGTGAGTGTAATATTTTAAGAGAGATGTTCCTCTCAAGTTTCTGGTATTATAATTATTTTTTTGTAATTTAACATCATTTGTTTTTTACACTAACCTTTCCACCAACATACATTCTTCCCAAGAGTTCGTTCTTATGTCTCTTGTTGTCACCAGTCCCTGAGTCATCAAATGGAGCCTGCGTATATTGAACAGTAATAAAAGAAGCAGAGTTAAAACACAGTATATTGAATGGGGTAGGGTTGTATCATAATAGGAAAAATTAGAAAAAACAATAAGGTTTCAGGATCCCTATGAACATCTAAGAAAGGATCATAGTACAATAAGAGAATTAGTAACTGTATCTCACACTTATATTCTGCACTTTATCGGTATCTCTGGAGAAGCCGCTGTCTCGATTTGAATTACGGGCCAAAGCAGGAAGTGGCTCCCAGCCCTAAAATAGAGGTACACAAAAAAAACACTATCACAATTAAAGTGACTCTATAGGTACCTAGACAACGTCATCTCAATGTCCTTGTCTGTTTAACCCTCCACCTGAAAACATTGCCATTTGAACAGCAATGTTTTAATATGCCTCTCGTGGAAACCAGCCACTAAAGACACTTCCGCAACTATAACCAATTCAACCTTGGTTATAAATCAAAGGACTCTCCTGAGGACCATTTCATTGGTGCATGCGCACTAGCCTCCCAATTCTCCCCATGGGGAAGAAAAGGATTGGCTGAGATCATTGAAACTGATCATCTTAGCCATGGAGGTGGAGCAGCATTCTGTGAGAAATAAGGTAAGTAAAACATAGAATAAAACAGCCAAGTTGTGTGAATATCCATGTTAAATATTTTTTCAGAATCAGAATTTTTAACCTAAATTAAACATTTTGGGTTTTCAGTTAATACAGTTTTTGGTTTGGTGAATCAACAAACATTTTTATTTCATCATGATTGTCATTGATACCATGCAATTAGCCATTGAACTGAGGAACTGCTCTGTTATGAAATTTAATAAATATATGTATATTAATATATACTGCCCACATTTACCAAATTAATTCTGCCTAGGGATCTATTCTGGTAAAGTCTAGACCAGGGCTTCCCAAACTTTTATGGGCCGAGACCCACTTTTGAAAACAGTAATTTTCGAGACCAACATGCTTTTAAAGCATATTTTAAAAATGAACACCATGACAATCTGCTTTAGAGGCATAAGATTGGCACACCATGGCAATCAGTTTTAGATGCATTAAGTTGGCACATCATTGCAGCTTTAGAGGCATGCGATTGGCACACCATGGCAATCAGCTTCAGATGCATACAATTGGCACACCATGGCAATCAATTTTAGATGCATGAAGTTGGCACATCAGCTTTTAGACAAATACAATTGGTACACCATGGCAATCAATTTTAGACAAATACAATTGGTACACCAAGGCAATCAATTTTAGACAAATACAATTGGCACACCATGGCAATCCACTTTAGAGGCATAAAATTGGCACACCATGGCAATCAGCATTAGAGGCATAAAATTGGCATATAATAGCAGTTTTAGAGGCATATTTCTGGGATATTATGGCAGATTTAGAGGCATAATTTTGGGTATCATGGCAGTTTTAGAGGCAGAAACTTTGCACATCATGGCAATCAGTTTTAGAGACATACAACTGCTTACTCACAGACTCATTTAGAATCAGAAGTTCTGTGTCTTGCTCATCCAGGCACCTCACATTGATTATCCCAGTGATGGAACTAATGTAGAGAGGGCCCTGGTGCAAGTATGTTTTATGAGCTCCCCTCTAGTGCAAGTGTGGCCAAAAGGTAGATCTCCATCTGTCGGAGAACTTCAACAAAGCTATGCCAGCTGGGGATTTACCACTTGCCCATCGTTGCAGAGTTATATTTGTGAGCAGTGTTTGAGTGTTTGATTGTAAGCATGTTTTTGTATTCAGTATACGTGTGCGTGTATGGGAGTATTTTATGTACTGTTGCCATTGGAATGTAGTGGTGTACTTGTTTGTAATGTTTGTGTCTGAATGCAGGGATGTTTGTATGTAGTGTTGGACTTAAATGCAGGTGTGCTTTTGTGTGATGGTGTTTGAATGAATGGGGGGGGGGGCAGGGTGAGAAAAGGTTACAGTGTGGGTGGGCAGGGTGAGAAAGGGTTACGGTGGGGGGGAGGCAGTGAGAGAAGGGGTTACAGTGTGGGAGGACATGGTGACAAGAGGTTACAGTGTGGAGGGGCAGGGTGAGAAGTTGGTTACAGTGTGAGGAGGGCAGCATAGTGAGAAGAGGTTACAGTGTGGGGGTGCAGGGTGAGAAGGGTTTATAGTGTCGGGAGGCAGGGTGAGAAGGGGTTACAGTATGAGGAGGGGGCATGGTGAGAACGGGTTACAGTGTGGGGGGCATGGTGAGAACGGGTTACAGTGTGGGGGGGCAGGGTGGGTTACAGTGTGGGGAGGGGGGCAGGGTGAGAAGGAGTTACAGTGTGGGGGGTAGCTGCAGACCATGTGATAGAGTGTTGCCATGGTAACGCTCTGGGTGCTCCTGAGACCACTATCACACTGTCTGCAGCTCTGCACCCTCCTGGTGTCGGGCCCACGGTTATGGACCAAGGACCTGACTAATCAGTCTGCCTGACTGTCTCGCAGTTCCCCGGCGGCCCTGAAGGCGTGGGTCAGCCTCATTGATTATTGTCTCTGACCCACGCCTCCAGGGCCGCCGGGGACCCACCAGTGGGTCGTGACCCACACTTTGGGAACCCCTGGTCTAGACAATAAGCAATGAGGCATCAAAAGACAAGAAGGGAACTCATACTTTTTTATAATACTGCAAAAGTATAATTAATGTAGAGATAAAAACATAAATACGTAACATTTTAATACATGATATTAAACCAATCTACACTTCTGATAAGTATTAGTTTACATTTCATCACAAGCCCATGCCACTCTTCTTTTAAAATGACAAAGAAGATAGAATTCTGTTGCAGAGATTAGATCATAATGCAGGATGTGGCCCGCAAGGTTAGACCTCTAACACTTCAGTTTGCAGAGGCGCCTTATATGGTAAGAGTTGGGCCATTTTTTACAGAAAGTCCAGCTCTCAATAGAAATGAGCACTTTTATAAATTAACATCAGACACTTGGTCCTGTTACACCCCCTGGCTGTCAGACACCTGGTCCCGTTACACCCCCTGGCTGTCAGACACCTGGTCCTGTTACACCCCCTGGCTGTCAGACACCTGGTCCCGTTACACCCCCTGGCTGTCAGACACCTGGTCCCGTTACACCCCCTGGCTGTCAGACACCTGGTCCCGTTACACCCCCTGGCTGTCAGACACCTGGTCCCGTTACACCCCCTGGCTGTCAGACACCTGGTCCCGTTACACCCCCTGGCTGTCAGACACCTGGTCCAGTTACACCCCCTGGCTGACAGACACCTGGTCCCGTTACACCCCCTGGCTGTCAGACACCTGGTCCCGTTACACCCCCTGGCTGTCAGACACCTGGTCCTGTTACTTCCTGGTTTATTTAGCTCAGTGGAGATAAACTCATGATACAGACAACTGCCCAGAGCACCTGCCTTGCAAAGACTTCTCATTGAACTGCATTGAGAAGTCTGTGATTGGACAGTCACAGAAAGTCTGGGCGGGGTTAGAATAGGAGGGCTTGCAAAGGCTGCAGACAAAAGATCTGCAGCTTTTAGATATAACCCCGATGAAAAAAACAAAACAAATTCATAGTTATATGTATTCATATTTTCATGTGGGTATATCTACTAAACAGTCATTGTCATAATTTTCTTTTTGTTTGGGCAGTTGGGGATCCCTTTAAAATCATTAAAAATAATATCAAAGTATAGTATTAATGCCAGCTGATCAAAACCGTTTCTAAATTTTAAGCACGTTACTAGGTGTGTTATTGTGAGCAAATAATCATAGCAAACATTTTTTCCACTTGACATCACTCCAAACATTTTGATCTCTGAAAACAGGGAAAAAAATAAGGGATCATTCTGTGAGGTATGTGACGTATTGGTTCTGATTAATTCACTCATATTTTCCCAATCACATTCATCTACATAAACTTCTACTTCCCTTCTAAAATTGTTAAATATCTAACCTGCATAGTAGGTGATGGTAGGAAATCTGTCTTTGCGATACTTTGTCCCATCAAGCGGTGGAATCCTTTCTATCAAGAAAAATTAAATTAGAAAAACCATTAGTAAAGAATGTTGGGTTACAGCAATAAAATGTGGCAATCGGGGGAAGAGGATTTCTCATTGTCATAATAATTGGTGCATTGTATAGTAGAGTTGGACGTAGACTGGTGATGGAAGATTAATGTGTTAAAACTATTCAGAGATGGATGAACATATAGAAACTGCTTTACCGGAACCCGATACTGTGAAGGTGGGCCAAAGGTTATTGGCTCCATGTTTAATCCTTCCGTAAAACCAGAATTCTCCGTGGCTCCTGTAACAGTCCTACAAAGATTCCCTGTAGGAAAAGATTAGAACGTTTTAACAGGCATCACCAGTAGTATTACGTAATGTCACAAACATGGCTTAATTAGGGAAGTCTGTTATTTTATATATGACATGAGTTTCACACTCTGACAAGATAGGGTCTCTCTATTTATGTCTTACTCTTTCCATTTGGGGAGCTGTATTCATACTGAGGCAAACGGAATAATTCTCTGTGTGTAGGAAAAGTGATGGTAGGAGAATGTTTAATATAATATTTAAAATATTTAGCTGATAGTTCTAAACTGGACCTGCTTTTCTGGCCACCCCAATATCCTACATTTTATTGGGATTTATTAACCCTTATATGTTGGGTTCACTTATCTAAAGATACTCTCTGCTTACTGACCATGTCTTCCATTACTGTGGTCTCACCTTCACGTGGCGTCCGTGTCAGAAAATTGGATTTGTATTCTGTAGACATAAATGCTGGTCCCTATAATAATAATAATACAAATCAGCATTTTAATCACCGGACTGGCCTCACATGCTTTAGTACGTTTTTAATCCACCTCTCCTGAATAAATTATAAACATATCAGTCTTGCACAGTGGGGTATCAAAGCACTGGATGCAGGGATGGATCTAGATTGTAAGAGACTAATTCACTAAACAGGGTATTGTCGTAAATTGAAAATCTAATTGCAAAATTCAGGCTAAATATCCAAACTGTGACTACAGCAAAGCTAGACGGTGTTTCCAAACATGCACTGTGGACCTAGATTGTGTAATCTGGTTTGGTTAATAAATAAACCCCAATGTGAGTCTCAATTACATACATAGATTAAAATGAGCTCAGGTTCACTTTGAACCCTAATATTTCATTAAAGCGGCACAGTCATGCCGAACTTACCTTTCCTTAATCGATTCCTCTTCCCTCCCTCTCTCAGGATCTGTTCTTCATTTCTTCCTGTCTGCTCTAGTTATCTTTAAAACATAAGACAAAGTAGGGACTAATTTGTCTTATGTACGCATGACCAGCGGAGGAGCAAAGTGTGCTTCATTTAAGGTGGTCAGAGCAATTTCCCACAATTCTCACCTTTCCTCAGTGATCTCGCGATGCTTCCTTTCACTATTCCCGAATCTACCGAATTTCGTCCTAACAGAATGAGAACAGTTTCTCCATTCGTGTTAGGACGCAATTCGGGACTTTTTTCAGATTGTAATTTCATTCTAAAGAATTAAATTCCGATTCGTGCTGCGGATGCATCTTGCAACCGCTTTGTAGATAACTCCCTATTGTCTTTCAGGGGCCCCCTCCGCACATGGGTGGGGCCCAGGGGGAGGACAATAGGTTCCCCTCCCGCCCCCCTCCCCAGATTGCTTATTATCCAGGTATATAACACTGCCTCTCTATGAGGGCAGGGCAGTGGTGTATCCTGGTTTTGTGCTGCCCTAGGTGGTCCAGTGGCTGCCGGTCGGGCTGGGCAGCGCTGGCTGCTGTGCGAGCGGCTGACGAGGGAGCTCTTCCTGTGAGCGGTCTGCTCAGCTCCCTCGCTCACCGCAGAGTGAGGCTGGGAGCCGGAAGATGACGTCATATTCCGGCTCCCAGCCTCACTCTGCGGCGCACGCGAGGGAGCTGAGCAGACCGCTCACAGGAAGAGCTCCCTCGCCAGCTGCCTGCCCGGCATGTCTGTTAGCCGCGAGGCTAACAAGGCATTTGCCCTAGGCATTTGGGGGCGGCGTTTTTTGCCGCCCCCTGAAAATGCCGACCAAAGCAAAAGCCTTGTTTGCCTCGGGGCTAATACGCCCCTGGGGCAGGGTCAGTTTTTTGTTTCCGGTAGACATATTTGGTTCCTGCTATTTTGTCTCTGTCAGGATCTTACCCGAGGTGGGAGTCTGCTAGCGGTAGGCAGAGCTTTGTGCTCACCCTTGCAGATAAACATAGTCCAAGGTGATAAGTTTAGAAAACATCAGGACTGTGAATCTGTGCACAGGGGAGAGTTGGCCCAACTCTTCTCATGGAGAAGCAGGTTTAAATACCTTGCTAATGAACTATCTGCCTTGGAGCACTTTTCATGTCAAGCCCCCATGCACAGATTCACTGCCCAGGTGGCTTATTGCCTGGTCACTTTGGGCTGTGTGTATCTGCAAGGGTGAGCATACATCTCTGCACTTCGGACTCCACCCCAGGTAAGATCCTGACATAATGAACTGACCTCATGGAGTTCGCAGAGATGTACAAACTGCTTACCTCCCTTGCTCAGCAAGTGTCCAACCTGTCCCAGACTGTTCTGGATTTGCAGGGGGTTTACTGGCATTTAAAGGTACGGCACGCCCAACCCTTGAATCTGCGCATCCAGAGCCCTATATGTTTATGCCTGACAGATTTGATGGTTCCCGTTCCTCCTTTACATCATTTAAAATGGATTGTGAACTCCTGTTTGCCTTAAAGCCCAGAGCCTACTCCACCGACTTTGTCAGAATTCGCACCACTATTACTTTGCTTTCTGGATGGATTAAGGCGTGGGCATACCAGATGCTGCAAGAAAAAGGTGCTGTCATGGACACCTGGGAGTCATTCATGACTGTGATAGACTTACAGTGCTCTATTTCAAAGAAAGGTACTCCCAAGCCTGCTCCAGGTTCCCGTGGATCTCGGGTACCTAGAGAAAAGAAAAACCCATACGAGTACAATGACTCCATATTGTTACAGCGCTAGCCTACCTTCAGGGACCTAACTTTACCTAAGTAAGCCTTGAAACTCAAGGGGACAAGGAGGAACCCATGAAGATCAGCTTCATCCGCACTAGGTTGCCTCCTGAAGAAAGAGACCGGAAGAGAGGCCATGGTCTTTGTTTCTATTGTGGAGAAAGAGGGTACTTTATCTCCCTCTGCCCAACTCGCCCACCTTGGCCAAAGGCTCTTCAATTGGGTACTCTTTGAATCCACCCTGCCATCCCTGCAACACAGCCTGTAAACTGCCATGGTTGCTGTCAGACCTGTCCACGTTCTGTGACGCAAAAGGGTACCCAGACTACGGTAATCAACATTACCAGTGTTTCTCAAGAACCCGTAAACAGTACCCCATAGAAATCTCCACCTTCTGCTCCAGCGACGTCTTCACTACTTCCTGACAAAACATCTGTTCAAGCAACCACAATCACCACTTCCTGCCTTGCCAATGAAGTTCTGTCACCTGACTGCACAAATGCTTCTACAGTTCTACAAAAGCAGGATCTTGAAGTGTTCAAGAAAGCATTGCAAGCTACGAACGCCTGCCCTGTGAGAACTGCTAAAACAAAGGTCACACCTAAGTCCCAGAAAAAAAGGAAGTTGGGATCCAAGGCCACTGTAGGTGCTTTGTATTCCAAGAATCTAGAAGAAGACCGTATGTATGGCATGGATGCATGGATGGGCCCTTCTGTGTCCTGGACTTGTTTTCCTGCCTCTGAGCCAAAGCTGAATCTATTCTATTAGTGTGGTTCTAGCCCTGTTAACCTGACCTTGTCTGCAGCACTAGGGGGCTGGACTTCATCTGTGGCTGCTACCTGTCACTCTAAGTCCACCTGAGGCAGATTGCTTATTACCCAGGTATATAACACTGCCTCTCCATAAGGCCATGGTCAGTTTATTGTTTCCAGTAGATTTATCTGGTTCCTGCTATTTTGTCTCCTGAGTTTGTATTCTCCAGACTGACCCCGGCTTCTGATCTTGGCTCCTCTCCTCGTTTATTCTGACCTCTGGCATCCTCTGACCACGGCTCCATCTCGACAATCCTTTTGCTTGTGCCCTTGCCTGCAATGTGTATTAGAGCACTTTTCCTGTCAAGCCCCCCTTGCACAGATTCACTGCCCAGGTGGTTTATTGTCTGTCACCGTGGGCTGTGTGTATCTGCAAGGGTGAGCGTACATCTCTGCATTTCAGACTCCACCCCAGGTAAAATCCTGACACTCCCTAAAGAAAAGGATTTTGAGTATAAGGGAAAACTGACACATTGCTTATATAGAATGTCCGAGTGTAAGGGAAAACTGACACATTGCTTATATAGAATGTCCGAGTGTAAGGGAAAACTGACACATTGCATATATAGAATGTCCGAGCGTAAGGGAAAACTGACACATTGAATATATAGAATGTCCAAGTGTAAGGGAAAACTGACACATTGCTTATATAGAATGTCCGAGCGTAAGGGAAAACTGACACATTGAATATATAGAATGTCCGAGTGTAAGGGAAAACTGACACATTGCTTATATAGAATGTCCGAGCGTAAGGGAAAACTGACACATTGAATATATAGAATGTCCAAGTGTAAGGGTAAACTGACACGTTGCTTATATAGAATGTCCAAGTGTAAGGGAAAACTGACACAATGCTTATATAGAATGTCTGCGTGTAAGGGAAAACGGACACATTGCTTATATAGAATGTCCGCGTGTAAGGGAAAACTGACACGTTGCTTATATAGAATGTCCAAGTGTAAGGGAAAACGGACACATTGCTTATATAGAATGTCCGAGTGTAAGGGAAAACTGACACATTGCTTATATAGAATGTCCGCGTGTTAGGGAAAACTGACACATTGCTTATATAGAATGTCCGAGTGTAAGGGAAAACTGACACATTGCTTATATAGAATGTCCGAGTGTAAGGGAAAACTGACACATTGCTTATATAGAATGTCCGAGTGTAAGGGAAAACGGACACATTGCTTATATAGAATGTCCAAGTGTAAGGGAAAACTGACACATTGCTTATATAGAATGTCCAAGTGTAAGGGAAAACGGACACATTGCTTATATGGAATGTCGGACACATTGCTTAGAATGTAGTGTAAGGGAAAACGGACACATTGCTTATATAGAATGTCCGAGTGTAAGGGAAAACGGACACATTGCTTATATAGAATGTCCGAGTGTAAGGGAAAACGGACACATTGCTTATATGGGAATGTCTGAGTGTACTGACACATTGCTTATATAGAATGTCCGCGTGTAAGGGAAAACGACACATTGCTTATATAGAATGTCCGAGTGTAAGGGAAAACTGACACATTGCTATATAGAATGTCCGCGTGTAAGGGAAAACTGACACATTGCTTATATAGAATGTCCGCGTGTAAGGGAAAACTGACACATTGCTTATATAGAATGTCCAAGTGTAAGGGAAAACTGACACATTGCTTATATAGAATGTCCGAGTGTAAGGGAAAACGGACACATTGCTTATATAGAATGTCCGAGTCTAAGGGAAAACTGACACATTGCTTATATAGAATGTCCGAGTGTAAGGGAAAACTGACACATTGCTTATATAGAATGTCCAAGTGTAAGGGAAAACTGACACATTGCTTATATAGAATGTCCAAGTGTAAGGGAAAACTGACACATTGCTTATATAGAATGTCCGAGTGTAAGGGAAAACGGACACATTGCTTATATAGAATGTCCGAGTGTAAGGGAAAACGGACACATTGCTTATATAGAATGTCCGAGTGTAAGGGAAAACTGACACATTACTTATATAGAATGTCCGCGTGTAAGGGAAAACTGACACATTGCTTATATAGAATATCCGCGTGTAAGGGAAAATGTACACATTGCTTATATAGAATGTCCGCGTGTAAGGGAAAACGGACACATTGCTTATATAGAATGTCCGAGTGTAAGGGAAAACTGACACATTGCTTATATAGAATGTCCGAGCGTAAGGGAAAACTGACACATTGCTTATATAGAATGTCCGCGTGTAAGGGAAAACTGACACATTGCTTATATAGAATGTCCAAGTGTAAGGGAAAACTGACACATTGCTTATATAGAATGTCCGAGTGTAAGGGAAAACGGACACATTGCTTATATAGAATGTCCGAGTCTAAGGGAAAACTGACACATTGCTTATATAGAATGTCCGAGTGTAAGGGAAAACTGACACATTGCTTATATAGAATGTCCAAGTGTAAGGGAAAACTGACACATTGCTTATATAGAATGTCCGAGTGTAAGGGAAAACTGACACATTGCTTATATAGAATGTCCGAGTGTAAGGGAAAACGGACACATTGCTTATATAGAATGTCCGAGTGTAAGGGAAAACGGACACATTGCTTATATAGAATGTCCGAGTGTAAGGGAAAACTGACACATTACTTATATAGAATGTCCGCGTGTAAGGGAAAACTGACACATTGCTTATATAGAATGTCCGCGTGTAAGGGAAAATGTACACATTGCTTATATAGAATGTCCGCGTGTAAGGAAAACGGACACATTGCTTATATAGAATGTCCGAGTGTAAGGGAAAACTGACACATTGCTTATATAGAATGTCCGAGCGTAAGGGAAAACTGACACATTGAATATATAGAATGTCCGAGCGTAAGGGAAAACTGACACATTGCTTATATAGAATGTCCGAGCGTAAGGGAAAACTGACACATTGCTTATATAGAATGTCCAAGTGTAAGGGAAAACTGACACATTGCTTATGTAGAATGTCCAAGTGTAAGGGAAAACGGACACATTGCTTATATAAAATGTCCGAGTGTAAGGGAAAACGGACACATTGCTTATATAGAATGTCCGAGTGTAAGGGAAAACTGACACATTGCTTATATAGAATGTCCGCGTGTAAGGGAAAACTGACACATTGCTTATATAGAATGTCCGAGTGTAAGGGAAAACGGACACATTGCTTATATAGAATGTCCGAGTGTAAGGGAAAACGGACACATTGCTTATATGGAATGTCTGAGTGTAAGGGAAAACGGACACATTGCTTATATAGAATGTCCGAGTGTAAGGGAAAACTGACACATTGCTTATATAGAATGTCCGAGTGTAAGGGAAAACTGACACATTGCTTATATAGAATGTCTGAGTGTAAGGCGAAGGCACTGGGGACAAAAAGCATTGGGGAAAACTTTGCAGAACTCACATGTTTGAGGTTCTCAGTCTCTGGAGACTTTTTGTCTTGGTTTGCAAACAGCAGAGGTTGATGTCGTGGAATGAGGCCAGCCATAGCTCCTGCTCCATGATCTTTTGTGTCAAAGTACACCGACTTGACCTGCATTATGCATTGAAAACAATAAACATGACAGCTATAGATATCATAGCAATTATCTGCAGGCTTTATCCCACCAAACATTCTGTCAATTATTTATGTCACGAGACCATTACTATAGACTTGAGCATAAATCTGTTTTCTCCATAAACGAATCGATCGGTACGAGAAATAATATTTTATCGAACAAATTGATTTGTTTGGGTGTGGATTAAAAAGATTTTGATTTGTACGGATTGATTTATTTATGGCAACATTACAGCCCTTCATAAAACTATCAGTTTGCCAGTAGCTAGAGAGTGAAATATAGATTAGAAATGAATGGAAACATTAATGAAGTGATCCATCTCAAAACCAAAATGACAAATCGGTATAAAAGCCTTAGAATTTCGCAGTTCTGGACAGATTACATCCTATTATTACACAGTCTGTATAATTTGATAGCTCAGTTTCAATGGAGCATACAACATACGGTTTAGTTGGGCTACATTAAACAAACTTTAATTTTCTTTTTCTGGCTATTTCCCACAGTGACAACACTAATTGATTAATGCCTTACTCTCCGCATTTAATACAGGAAGTGATTAACTAATTAATACATTTAAATATCAGCTCTCCTTCCCTAGACACATGGCTTTAGTATAACGCCCACGAACGCAATGGAAAGGAAATACCCATCAATGCCATTGGAAATGGTCAGAAAAAGAGTCGGGCACTTATAGTAAGAATCTTCTGTTTTCGAGGTCAGAGATGGCATAAACTAATGGGAAATGCCAGAGCCAATAAAAGAAGGGAAATTGATTAGGAGATGTCTACGTGGTAATGTTTAGCAAATATGGAATTAACGGACCACGTAGCTACCCTTTACATATGACCTCGGAGGAAAGATCAGGTCAAGTTCAAGATGGTCCTAGTGGAGTGAGATCTGACTACAGTGACCGCTTTTACACCTTGAAAACAACGTTTCTTGGTCTAGAATATTCTTTCAAAGAAGTCAAATGGTCCGATCGAGGCATTGTATCTCTGAGAGAAGGATGAATACACAGGTTTTCATTGCATGTATAGTTTTTGTTTGGACAAGTTGTGCTTCCAACCAAAGAGGGTGTAAAGACGGTTATGCCCTTAGAGCAAAGATAAGCCAATAAATGCACTGACAAACACACAATTTATCTCCCCCTTAAAACTCACAGTTCTGGATTTGGGGTTGGTGACAGAGTTGCTCTTAATGTAACCACTCTCTCCGGTGCAAGCTGTGGAAGACAATGGCTCGGTGCCAGTTGGCAGCTGATGAGGGTGATAATCTCTGTTGGTTATTGATGTATAATTATTTCTTAGAATTAGCCTGTGAGAAATAGGAAATAAAACAGGGAATGATACTGTAGGCAAGAGAGGTTCTAGGAGATCAAAAGTAACATTTTAGAAGACCCACATGATGGTCAACAAATCCACCCAGAATAAATGGCTAACACTGACTGGAGGCAAACTGTTAAATAAAACTGTAAGGTTGAGCATGAATTTAATGAAATCAATAAAAACTTTAATGATGTGAAGAAGGCCAGAAATAGAAAAGACATAGGTGTTATTGTGTAAACAGGTAAACCAAAGGCAGAACCTGAAATGCTCAAAGCTTACCCTAAACTTGGGTTGTCCTTGCGATCAAGGTTAGGTGAGTAGTAGACAGCAGGACGCATGTTTGACTGATATCCTGTGTTTCGGTGGGTGAGCACACCCTGCTGTGGAACACCACCAGGTACAAATTGTGAAGATCCTAAATAAGATCAAACACCAGAATTGTAATATATGATAATTCCACTAGGAGGAGAAATACGACAATATATATCTCCTGGAAGGTAGCTCTGCACTTCAACTATGTAATAATTTGAACACCCTATATAACACATCTATATAAGGATCCAATTTATACCGGCACTGTGGGTCTTTGCTACAAAATCACTTTATTATATTACTACGCCATAAAACGTCACCATTTCATAATATATGAGTTCCGTAATGTTCAATTTTTATGGCATAGTAATAGAATAAAGGGATTTTGCAGCAAGGACGCACAGTGCCGGTGCTCGGATATTTCACGGGGTAGAGAAATTTGATAGAACACCAGAATTGGATCCTAAACATGGATTAGTTTACATTTACAATACAAATGTTCTAACTCCTGTAATTATGTATTTATATAGCACAAACATAGTCTGCAGCACAGAATACATTTTATAAGGAACCTTACAGGGTTTTCCACTAAAGGGAATTTGAAATGTAAGGCTAATATAACCATAGTGGGGAATAAACCCAACGTTGCTATGCTACAGTTCAGTTACTTACGCTTTCTATAGGATATTCACTTTAGTAAATAACACCGTATATATGTTCTATATATCATATTTATGAAAACTGATATTAAAAAAACTTGAATTAAACATGAGAACTTTGAATGCTCACTTTGACACAGTTTATATTTTAATATAGGCGCAAATCTTGCATTTCTTGGTGGAACAGATTAAAATGTCACCCCAACTGTACCCCATTTATCCCAAATCTTTCTGTACCACACTGTTCCCTTCCCGCAGTCCTTATTACACCCCCTCTGTTTCCTCTCTCACCATAAGATGTGTTATAACTTGTGCAGTAGAAGTTCAAAGAGTCGCAGCTCCCCCCAAAACTGTTTCTGATCTGCGGTGACATCCCACCAAGAGGAAATCGACCCATTGCAATTTATGAGAAACTCGAGGCAGCACAGTATCGGTTCAGAGAGCTTAGCTGTACGCAGCTTGCTGTTCACACTGGTAACAGTGTCTTAGTTACAGTTTCCATGATGCAACAAACACATTCAGAATTCTAATCTTACTGGATGAACAGTCAATGGATACGGCTACAGACGGCACACTTCTTTGTGGAATTTTTAAATGTCTTCTTAAAGGGATACTATAGTCACCTGGTTCTGGTATCTACAGGCATTTTAATGTAAACACTACATTTTCAGAGAATTTCTTATATTTTAATATTTTTTTTTCTGTTAATTAATTATCTAAATGTCACTTTGGAGGGTCAGGAGAAGAAAGTGCAAATACCATAAAAATATCAATGTTACTGTAAAGTGACACTAGGCTAGAAGACCACTCGTGAAATAAGGGGGTGTCCTCTAGCCTAGTGTGTCACTTTAAATGAACATAAAATACCATATTTTTTATGGTATTTGCACTTTCTTCTCATTACCCACCAAAGTCACATTTACAATAACAATAATTTATATAACACCAAAATATTCAGCAGCGCTATACAATAGGTAAAACAGGATAAACTAGAATTTCTAATGCAAAAAAACAGGTCTGACATAACATTGTGGCCCCCAGGGGAGAGACCAGAAGAAATACTTGCTGGAATCTCTCTATTCTCACTGCTGTCATCTTCCGTCTTCATATTGTCAGCTCCTGGTTAATACAGCTGTCAGGACCCTCTGTGAACTATTGTACAATGTGGATACATGGCTGTGCTAACCAGGATCTATGGAAATCCCGTGAGACCTTAGGATGTTCCCTTGATAATATTACACTAGCTCAATGAGAAGACAAAGGAACCCTACTGCATGAAATGATCCCATCAGCCTTCAAGATGAGCAATATCGGGATGTGGCAGAGGAGGTTCCGCCCAGTGCTATATTTTGCCAAATTACTGTCACACTTTGTCTCGTACATATCTTTTGATTACATTTTTTCTATGTTATGAAAATCTCACAAATGACAGCTTTTAAGGGTTACGCCATGTACCATGACCACTTCAGTGATTGGAGTTTGTGTTTGCAGTGTTTCAGTTTGAAACACTGCGCACACAGAGTTAAAGGGACACGATAGGCACCCTGGATGTCCTCATACTGTGAATGAGGACGTCCAATGTCTTGCAAATACCCATAGGAAAGCATTGATTCAATGCTTTCCCATGGGGAAAGCCTAATGCACGCAGCGCTTGCCATGCATGACACTAGGTTCCCCCTCATACTGACATCGGAGCCAGGACAAACTGCTGGCTCTAAAGTACAAAGAAAAAAGGAGGTGTTCATCCTAACAAACAACTACAGTGAACACACTCGCAGGGTCGCAGTTCATGGCAAACTGGAAACGACACGGGTGGCAGTCTGCATTAAGCATAATAAGCACACGGGGGGTGGACCTGTCCCACCAACTGCTTCAGCCATACTTAATCATGTGAAAGACCAGGTCATGGTATAAGACAGTTGGCATTTATTTAATGCAGATGAAAACCCACAATGCCTTTATCTTATTCAAATATATCTGAGTGTTACCAGACAGGCATAAGGACTGAAACCAGTTTTACTACCCCAATTGCCCCTCTCAGCCTGGCCTTTGCATTGGGAATGGTTTTAACATTTTACATACTCGGGGCGAATAGGTTCTGTCATCTAAATGAAGTTTATATATATATATTTAAAAGTTATAACTGTCACGGCTAGCTGCTGCATGTGGTCGCACCCGATCGGTGCAACTACGCTGACAGGTGGGAACACTTACCTGTTCAGCAATGAGCCGTGAGCCGACCTGCTGGGGCATCTGTCCCCTCCACACGTGGGAGCCAAAATGATGCTGACCACGAGGTTGCCATTTGTAGCTCTGCCTCCAAAGGTCACATGAACATGCATGTGATGTTAGACGTTGACGCACACGCACGTTCTGTGGTCAGAGGCCAAGCTCTGACCAATCACAACCCAAGGAGGGGTATTTAAACCCCTGAATTTCCCTAGCACATTGTCCTGTCGTGGTTTTTGTTTCTGGTTCCTGAGAGCGCGTTTTCTTGTCCTTGTTATTGATATTCCCGGTATTCTGACTTTGGCTATTCCTGACTATTCTGATCTCTGGTTTGCCTGACTTGGCTTTCTTATCGATCTCGTGTATTTCTGGCTTCCTTGACCTCGGCTTTCCCTTGACCATTCTCTGTCTTTCAACGTATTAATCCATCCATTCTAAGAACCGTTTTACGTTCTGTCTATTTTTCTATTCTATGTAGATGTTACATAGTTTTTCGTGTTGGAACACATTAGTAGTCGTGACATTAAGACAGGGCTATGTATCCTGCAGAACTATGTAAGCATATGATAGTCTGTGAGAGTAGGGTAGACCAATTTGCCCAAGCATTCCAGACCTTGCTCCAACGAACATTGGGAGCATACATTAGGGACGCTAAGAGATTGTCTTCCAGACAGGCTAGATGGCCACTTTTCCTTTCACGTTTCAATTTTGTTATCACTTACAGACCAGGCACTAAGAATAATAGGGCCGTTGCTCTGTCAAGACAGAGATGAGTTTCCTGACCAAGAGACATCTCCTATCATACCCCCTGAGTGTTTTATTGCTACGACAGTTTTGGAATTGTGTTCTGCGCTCCTTTGTGCCATAACAGCAGATCAAACTCAAGCACCAGCAGAGAAGCCATCTCATAAACTATTTGTCTCACCATCACAGAGATCTGAGATACTCAGGTTATACCATGATAACGTAACAGCTGGACATCCTGTTATACACAAAACCATCTCTGCCATCTGCCATTACTAAAAAAGTTTTGGTGGCCGTCATTTAGAGGTGATGTTAAGGATTATGTGGGAGCATGTAGAATTTGTGCTGTGTCCAAGGTCCCCCACAAATCACCTCCTGGATTGTTACAGCCACTTCCAATACCAGAAGCTCCGTGGACCCACCTGGCCATGGATTTCATTGTTGATCATCCGAGTTCCAATGTGTATAAAACTATCCTTATGGTAGTAGACCGTTTCTCCAAGATGGCACATTTTATACCTCTCAAAAAACTACTATCTTCCCAGGATCTTGTCCAAGTATTCTTACGTGAAATCTTTAGGCTACATTGGTTACCGAAAAACATAGTCTCTGACCGAGGTACCCAATTTATCTCCAGATTTTGGCTTGCTTTTTGCAAACAGTTGGGCATAGAACTTTCTTTTCCTCTTCGTACCACCCTCAGACCAATGGGGTGGCGGAGAGCGCCAATCAAGCCTTAGAACACTTACCTGTTCAGCAATGAGCCGACCAGTTAGTCTGATTGATGCCAATCAGACTAACTGGTCAGAACTCCTGCCCATGGCTGAATTTGCTAGAAAAAATGCAACCCACAAGTCCTCTACTCTCTTTTTTTGTAAATAATGGTTATCACCTCACTGTATTACCTTCTGATTTTCCAGAAAGTGACAATCCTGCTTTAGACGTCCATTTGACCTCTATCAATGACACTTGGGCTTCAGTACACAAAGCACTACATTCGGCAGGTGTGACAGAACCATCTGTCTGTCTATTGTAGTGAATTCATCTATTTCTGCCCATTCGTGTAAATGGCTGTTTCTATAGCCCAGCCATACGAATGACTCTTTTTTACCGAACAAATCTGCCGAACGGATGACCACCCAGGATAGAAGTGTGCTGCTGGTTAACCTCTTGATCCCAATTAGAACGTTGTGGTTAACCGCAGACACTTCTCAATTAAACCAAATTCCGGGTGGCCGTCGTTCGTATGTCAACCCCTCAGCAGACATTGTATAACGTGTGCAGGCAGCAGTGATGGCACACCAGGCGCTCCAGGAAAGAGATGCTGCAGCAGCAGAGGTACCCAATAACAATTTTGGAAGGAAAAAGGTACCCTTTGCTGCGTTTAAACATTTTATTGAGACAGAGGGAGAGATTGATGGGTTCCTGGCTGACTTTGAAAGGCAGTGTGCCCTACACCACGTACCCGCAGACGAATGGGTCACCATCCTCTCTGGAAAATTATCTGGCCGGCTAGTGAAGCATTTCGGGCCATTCCAGAGGAGGAGATCACCAGCTACTGAGGGTGAAAGATGCGCTCCTAGCCAGGTATGCGGTGACCCCAGAAGCGTACAGACAACGATTTAGGGAGACTAACAAGCAGGTTGGTGACTCCTATGTAGAGTGGGCCTGCAGGGTCCACCGTACCGCAGTCCACTGGATGGCAGGATGCCAAGCAGTAACTGGGGAAGAAGTGCTGCAGGTGTTCTTGCTGGAACACTGCTTCGACAGACTACCTGCCGGGGTCAGGGAGTGGGTCAGAGATAGGAAACCCTCTACCCTAACCGAGGCTGCCCGTCTGGCAGATGAATATACGGACGCCCGCAAATTGAACAGTACAGCTACCAAGGTTCCTGCCAGGATGGAGTACCGACCGACAGCGACCCCAGCACCAACAGCATACCAACCCCCAGTACACCGCACTCCAGCAGTACCGCCAGCAAACATTTACCCGCAACCCTCCCGGTTCAATGCCCGGGATTATTCACAGCCCATCAGGTGCTTTGGGTGCAAACAGTTGGGGCACAAGCGACCCGAGTGCCCACTGAACGGCGCTTATCAAGCCCAGTCCTGGAGGAATCCAGCCAGCGGGAATCAACGGCCCCCTCAGCGTGCTGCTCACTGTATCAAGCAGGAGGAATTCTGGGGCATTCTACACGAGGCCGACCCAGTGCAAGCAGCGCATCAGGACAATCGCCAGCAACACCGGCAGACTGTGAAGCTGAATGGCAGAGTGGTGAATGGACTGAGAGACACAGGAGCCACTATGACACTGCTCCAAAAGAACCTAGTCTCGGAGCACCAGCACACTGGAGACACTGTGGCAGTGAGGGTAGCAGGAGGCTCCGTGTTTCGCTTACCTGTTGCCCGGGTCCATTTGGATTGGGGAGTGGGTGCTAGACACGTGGATGTGGGTGTTATGAAAGACCTGCCCGCTGATGTTCTTCTTGGGAACGATTTGGCCACTTTGGTTTCAGCTTATGCCCCGATGGGCCCTGCTGACGTCAACCCTGTGACTCATGCTCAGACCCGTGCTTCTGGAACCGGCCCACCTGCTGATGAGACCCAGGTAAGACCCTCTTCCCCGACTGGTACCCTAGATCAGGCCCCCTTAAGCTGGGATTCCCCAGAGTTTGGGAGGGAAACCCGGGCGGATCCGACCCTCCAGAAGTACCGAGATAGAGCAGAGGCTGGAGAGGAAGGAATAGATGGGGAGCGGTATGAGTGGGTGGGGGACAGGTTATATAGTATCCCAAAGCCTTCCCAGAAGAGTGTAGCCCCTCCGCCGAATCGACAGCTAGTGGTACCTGCAAAGTACCGGCAGGAGATTCTGCGGATAGGGCATGATGTTCCGTTAGCTGGACATCTAGGGTCCCGCCGCATAGCCTATAGGATCTCACAGAATTTCTTTTGGCCCAACTTTAACCAGGCTGTGCGGATGTATTGCAGTACGTGCGACACATGTCAACAGGTAGGAAAGCGGGGGGACCACCCTAAGGCTAGGTTATTATCGATGCCTATTAAAGGGGAGCCCTTTTCCCGCATAGCTGTTGACATTGTGGGTCCACTGGCCAGGGCTAGTCCCTCCGGTAAGAAATATTCTTACTGTGGTGGACTATGCCACTCGCTATCCAGAGGCAGTAACGCTGTCTAATATAGAGGCAGAGACGGTTGCTGATGCCCTGGTTAGAATTTTTACTAGGGTCGGGTTCCCTAAGGAGATCCTCTCCGACCAGGGAACCCAATTCACCGCTGCGCTCACTCAGCAGCTGTGGAAGGTGTGTGGCATTAAAGCGTTGCGTAGCTCACCCTACCATCCACAGACTAACGGTCTTTGCGAGCGCTTTAACGGTACCCTCAAGCAGATTCTGAGGACCTTTACAGATACTTGCAGAGACTGGGAGAGGTTCCTGCCTCATCTGTTGTTTTTTTCAGAGAGGTGCCCCAGGAATCTACTGGGTTCTCCCCCTTTGAGTTGCTGTATGGTCCGCGGACCCCTAGATCTCATCTGGGGCCACTGGGAGGGGGAGACAGAGCAGGAGGGGACCCCCATAGTGCCATATGTCCTGGAACTCCGGGAACGCATGGAGAAACTGTCCCTGATGGTAAGGGAGAATCTCCAGGCGGCCCAGGGGAGACAGTAGAGATGGTACGATCAGGGTGCCCGACAGTGGGTCTTCCAGGTTGGGCAGAAGGTATTAGTGCTCAAACCTGTGAAGGCAAACAAGATGCAAGCATCTTGGCAGGGCCCGTACCGGGTAGTAGCGCAGATCTGCGATACTACTTACTTGATAGCCAGCCGTACAGATGAAAGGGTTCAGAGATCCTTTCATGTGAACATGCTGAAGGAGTACCAGGAGTGACATGAGAATATTGCGGCAGTATGTGCCCCGGCTGCAGATGATCCTGAGAAATTACCTCTCCCCGATTTGTTAGAAAGGGACCCCCAGACTGACCTCACTACCCTTGTACAGCTAGGGGACAGATTAAACCCCACAGAAAGGGTACAGGCGAAGCAGTTGTTATGGGAGAAGCAGGCGATGTTCTCCCAGGAGCCCGGTTATACTACCCTAGCTGTACATAAGGTCGAGACCCCTGGACAGACCCCCTTACGACAGCCGCCATATCGTATCCCTGAAGCAGTCCAAGAAGGAATTCGTTTTGTCCCTGCCTATAGCACTATTGCTAAGCCCCTGACAGACCTGACGAAGAAGAACTTGCCTAAGCAGGTTCTGTGGTCTTTGGCTTGTGAAGCTGAGTTCCAGGCACTGAAACAGGCTCTTGTGAATGCCCCTGTCTTGGCTGCCCCAGTCCCTAACAAACACTTTCTCGTTCACACAGATGCTTCCATGTATGGACTGGGGGCTGTGCTGAGCCAAGTCGGGAAAGATGGAGGAGAGCACCCTGTCGCATATCTCAGCCGAAAGTTGTTACCCAGAGAAGTGAGTTAGGCGGCAGTGGAGAAGGAGTGTTTGGCCTTGGTCTGGGCATTGAAGAAGTTAAGTCCCTACTGATACGGGCAAGAGTTTTCCCTTGTGACTGACCATAACCCACTCGTCTGGCTTAACCGGGTCTTAGGGGACAATGGTAGACTGCTGAGGTGGAGCTTGGCACTACAGCCCTACAATTTCACCATCAGCTACCGACCCGGTAAGCAGAACGGAAATGCAGATGGGTTATCCCGACAAACTGACATCTCCACCACCTCCTAGTCCGGTCATCCCCAAGTTGACCCGCCAAAGGGTCAAGCCGGGTCTGCCGGAGTGTCCCACAAGGAGGGAGCCGTGTGACAGAACCATCTGTCTGTCTGTTGTGGTGGATTCGTCTATTTCTGCCCATTCGTGTAAATGGCTGTTTCTATAGCCCAGCCATACGAATGA